TTCAAGGTATACACCTTTAAACAGTTGTGTGATGGACATGGGGAGGACATTGCAATATTCGTCGCATCATTGACACAAACGATGTCCGATATAATTTCCTATTTTGACTTGTACTAAATGTTCAAGTGGCACTTCACTTGCCTTTGCGTGTGTTTGTGACTGGTGCCACCGAAGAGGCAGGGTACCTGATAAGAGTCTCAACATGATGGTGATCCATGGTGTACACATGTTCATAACACAGTCGTAATGGAACAATACTTGACACGAAGCCCCCAATGAGTCATGTCGTGGTATGAGCTGATATGTATATCAAAATTTGGTGGTGTGATCGAGCAATAAGCATCATCGCATCCACAGTTCCATATATCCGACAAGGATGTGTAAAGGGTCTTCTTTCATCTAGTTAAAACCATTTACAAAGAGATGATGTATTGATGAGTTGTTTCACTGTAAGTATTGATGAGTAACGTGGCTTACCAATGTGAGTCAGGTTCATGAATTGTCGCTCAATATTCTGATCAGTTGCTATGTGTTCACATGCACCGTCACCGTTTCCTAAAGATAATAAATAAGGTTATTCAGTTTCTTAGTAACAAAATGCGACTGAAGCCTTCAACTGGAAAATAAATGATGTGGGTTGCAAAAATGATGGATGTTGGTTGCTAGTAACGGGATGTGGGATATGAAAAGGAGATCTGATTTCATGGCAGGGATATGCATAGGTAAAGGTGAGAAGGAATAGGGCTGCACGTTCATGTGTGTGTGTGTGTGTGTGTGTGTGTGTGTGTGTGTGTGTGTGTGTGTGTGTGTGTGTGTGTGTGTGTGTGTGTGTGTGTCTGTTGTGCATCCAATGGAGCTTACCCGCCGTTTGGATTTAACTTAGGGGTAGGCAGTACGGTCGGGTCTGTTGTGTCTCGCTCACCAATATCATGATGGAATCGACACATCATCGTCGTCCGAATTAGACGCCATGTCACTTAGCCTATGTTACTTGCACAATCCGTCACATTGGTCATGGTTGAACTGTCGAGGGTAGTTCTACATCTGAAAGGGAGGAGTTAAATCAAAATGGTCACTTCTAGATCCTATAATGATACATACAGTTCGTACGGTGGCGCTGTTTACTAATACAATGAACTTATGTAAATTAACTCATGCGGAAAGTAACCGTTGATTTTACGACATGCGAAATAGCTCACAGGAGTTGTGCGCCTTCACTCAAACCCGGCGACACTTTAATGTAAATGTCATCCTAACAGGTTGGTGGTATCGCCGCTAGGCGACTGTATGACCCAGTCCTACTTCCTGTTCGAGGTCGTGATTGCGTGTTCTATTTATAGCATCTAGGCTGAAATCCCAGTCATGAACAATGGAAATATAGAAGGATAAAAATAGTAAGTAACAGTTACAGAATGTAATCATAAACCATATCATTTCATGGAAGGACAGCTGGGGTACGACAAGGGCTCTATTCGGCGCATCGGATCTTCATAATATAAGACACGAATTTTATCTGATGTCTTCACAATATGTAATAAAAGCTAGATCGACTTTGTCCATTTCAAAACGTGCCTGTTTTGGGCCAATAACAGCAGTGTATAGCTGAGGATGAAATGTGTCAAAGGATTATTGTTTGGGTTTTCAGACAGGAATTATTCTTTCAAACATGTGATGATATGATAATGTAAGTCTTTGATCTAAGTAAGACCCTTTCCATATTCATCGGAAATCCTGCTCCAAGCAGAGTCGATGGTACGATTCCGACCATATCATGAACATATGTTTATGAATCAGTGTCAAACAGTGATGACACCAGGTGTTCGGGAAAAGGTGAGCGTATCCTGCCCCAGCCGATGGCACCAGCCACAAACATATGCAAAACCATTTTTTAATGATCAACTGTTCACCTGAAAAAAAACAGGAACAAATGTGGTGCAAATCAAGCAAGGGAGTTGCATATAGTCGGAATTACACGGGACAATTAATGTCCCGTGCATGTATAGAAACACAGGATGCTTTATGCTAAAACGGAAATATTTACTCATGAAGTTGGAACAAGATACCGTTTACATGTTTCAGCCTTTTTCATGTACATTGTACTTGATCAAACCAGAAGTCAAACACTTGCTAGTGTCAGAAAGAAAAAAAATAGGCTACTTGTCATGCATTTTATCTTTGTCAACATTTCAACATTTCCCCTAACTTTTGAATTTGACATTTCCAATGAGCAATAATTTAAGGGACTTTGTCACCCCTTTCTTTGTCAACATGTCTCCATCAGATTCAAACGAGATCTTGTACGCATTAAATATCATACCTTAACGTTAATTAAACACATTTTACAATATATAAGTATATATACAAAACTGTTACCACATATAATATTTCCACACAAACTTGGGTTCAATGTTATAGCATGAAATGTCATTAAGTGTGCAATATACTATATTCCTGAATAAGCTTACAAATATGCCGTGTAATCATTATGCGTGGGATATGCAATCTTGTGTACATTAACCATACAGGTTGAGCGAGTAACCTTAATATAGGACTATCCATGGCGCGGGAGTGATGTTTACACTTGACTATTCGTTGTGCATGGGCGATTTTAATATAGGACTACCAGTATGCATGGTTCGTGCGTGAGTGATGTTTACACTTAACTATTCGTGGTGCATGAGTGATGTTAATATAGGATTACCAGTATGCATCATGCGTGCGTGAGTGATGTTTACACTTGACTATTCGTGGTGCCTGAGTAATGTTAATATGGGACTACTAGTATGCACCATGCGTGCGTGAGTGAGTGAGTTTGGTTTTACGCCGCTTTTAGCAATATTCCAGCAATATCACGGCGGGGGAAACCAGAAATGGGCTTCAAACATTGTACCCATGTCGGGAATCGAACCCGGGTCTTCGGCGTGACGAGCGAACGCTTTAACCACTAGGCTACCCGACCGCCCCTCCATGCATGCGTGAGTGGTGTTTAGATTTGACTATTCGTGAGGCCTGAGTGATGTTAATATATTACTTCATGTTGTGTGAGTGTATGAAGTTAATATACTCTTAAAACAAGAAACGCAATACGGATATATTTGGCCATAAAAACGAAATTTGAGGACCAAGGGGTGCAAAATGAAGAGGTTTAATATGTTATACTTACAGTGACACAGTATTTTGACTCAATACTTTGTACGGTTCCTCGTGTAAAATAATGTATGTTCCTACCTCACACAAATCTGACTTTACGTTTCTTTTTTTAAAGAGTATATATGGCTTCATAGTGCGTGATTGAGTGATGTTATTATATGACTTCATGGTGCGTGAGTGATGTTATTATATGACTTCATGGTGCGTGAGTGATGTTATTATATGACTTCATGGTGCGTGAGTGATGTTATTATATGGCTTCATGGTGCGAGAGTGATGTTATTATATGACTTCATGGTGCGTGAGTGATGTTATTATATGATTTCATGGTGCGTGTGTGAGGGATGTTATTATATGACTTCATGGTGCGAGAGTGATGTTATTATATGGCTTCATGGTGCGAGAGTGATGTTATTATATGACTTCATGGTGCGTGAGTGATGTTATTATATGGCTTCATGGTGCGAGAGTGATGTTATTATATGACTTCATGGTGCGTGAGTGATGTTATTATATGATTTCATGGTGCGTGTGTGAGGGATGTTATTATATGACTTCATGGTGCGAGAGTGATGTTATTATATGGCTTCATGGTGCGAGAGTGATGTTATTATATGACTTCATGGTGCGAGAGTGATGTTATTATATGACTTCAATGATGCGAGAGTGATGTTATTATATGACTTCATGGTGCGTGAGTGATGTTATTATATGATTTCATGGTGCGTGTGTGAGGGATGTTATTATATGACTTCATGGTGCGTGAGTGATGTTATTATATGACTTCATGGTGCGAGAGTGATGTTATTATATGACTTCATGGTGCGTGAGTGATGTTATTATATGACTTCATGGTGCGTGTGTGAGGGATGTTATTATATGACTTCATGGTGCGAGAGTGATGTTATTATATGGCTTCATGGTGCGAGAGTGATGTTATTATATGACTTCATGGTGCGAGAGTGATGTTATTATATGACTTCAATGATGCGAGAGTGATGTTATTATATGACTTCATGGTGCGTGAGTGATGTTATTATATGATTTCATGGTGCGTGTGTGAGGGATGTTATTATATGACTTCATGGTGCGTGAGTGATGTTATTATATGACTTCATGGTGCGTGAGTGATGTTATTATATGATTTCATGGTGCGTGTGTGAGGGATGTTAATAAATGGCTTCATGGTGCGAGAGTGATGTTATTATATGACTTCATGGTGCGTGAGTGATGTTATTATATGACTTCATGGTACGAGAGTGATGTTATTATATGACTTCATGGTGCGGGAGTGATGTTATTATATGACTTCATGGTGCGAGAGTGATGTTATTATATGACTTCATGGTGCGTGAGTGATGTTATTATATGACTTCATGGTGCGAGAGTGATGTTATTATATGACTTCATGGTGCGTGAGTGAGTGTTGTTCCCTAACCTTGCATTCTATACATAATCGTTGTAAGGTTATAAAGAGATGTATATGTGCTAGAAACAAGGTATCACTGCTTGACTCAATTCGATTTAACACGGCTGTGAACACGGTGTGCCTGCTTTAACGTTTACTACTTTAGGGCAGACTGAGGCACATAATCGGGATGATTCTGGGTTCGAATCTACCACCAGTGGATCCTGTCAGCTGAAGACCGTGCCCCTGGCACCGTTAGATCTAGTATGTAGGAATTCGTCAGTAACTACTGGTTGCATAGTCTGTCTGCTGAATAACCCATATTAACTGACAGCTACCCTGGTTGGTTGTCCTTTAATAACCGCAGGTTAATGTGACAGCTACCCTAGTTGGTTGTCCCTGAATGAAAACCACTGACAAGTGCAAATTACATACAACTTCCAATATCTAAATATATTTATTTGTTCTAAAAGATCATGACAATCTATTACATTGCATTAATGATCTGTAAACAAACCAGTTCAGTGGCAAGAGGCGTGACTGGTGTACATGACTACAATTTGAGGAATCATCACCACCAATGTGAGAATCTTAACACAACTTATAAAACCTGTCAACACAAAATAGGATTCAGTGGTGCCATGTTGTATTCAAATGTGTTTAAGAATTGAGCCCTCCTGGACACGTTATAGCCAGTACTGAAGCTACAGGACTCGTCATGGAAATGTAAGAGCAATTTAACATGGAAACCCTACTCAAACATTCTGAGCCAACCGGTGCTCGTTTTATCCCCTTAATGCCGGTCGCCAGGAAGGGTAACAACATGTACAATCTTTCACCATCTATTGGTATGACGCAACCAGAAAATCAAACTATCGACCTTCTGCTCTCTGGCAGATGCTCTACCCAAAAGATTGAAACAGCCCTGTAAGTGGTAGAACATGCACTGAGAGGGCCCTGAGAGGCCAGTTAGAGTTTTCAGGTACATAAATAATAAACTCAGAACTGTGCCCTAAGCGACTATATAAACGCCATACTCTCATAGATGATTACAGAATGGAGTTTGACCTGAACCAAACTCTCAAAACGACAACAGTTCTGTGGTATATAACATACTCTAAATAATTAAGTACTGACACTTGTCTGTCGTATAAACCAAACTCTCAAATATATGTACTATTGTCCTGACCCCAGTTGTGTGGTACAAACCCTACTCTCAAATACATGTAGTATTATCCAATAACTAGTTTTGTGGTATAAACCAAACTCTCAAATACAAATGCAACTGTCCCACCACCAGCGATGTCAAATATATGTACCACTATCATATGTACCATTAAAGAACTGTTCTCTTTCGTTCTCTTACACTGATCAACTGGTATGTTCCTGCAAGGACAAATGAACATATAACTTGTATTGGGGTACCTTCGACAGTCTTACCAGTTCTACCAGAACAAGTTCTAAATGAAGCCTGTAAGAAACAAGTGATACAACTCAAGATCTCATTCAGATTACCCTTCCAGTTGTACTGAAGGTCCTGTGATAGTCTGTTCACACTCTGTGTTTATTTCCACATTGCTCTTGAAACAGTGAACACAATTTCTTTCTGCACTTGAGTGAGGACAACTTCGACAATCTTACCATTTTATATGACAAACAAGTTCTAAATTTATCTCATATAATTATAAGTAATGAGTAAACACTCCTATCCTCCGGTCAATGATACGATCAGCCACATCTCAACACAAACAGCTCTTAGATCTGTTATCCAACCTGCATTCATCTGTTAAAGGATTGTTCATCCCTGCCTTGTTTTAACCTTTGTGGCTTTCTTGATATACTCGCATTGTGTAGGGCAAGTCCTATGTGTTTAATCTGTCAGCACTTTCACATGTACAAAGGGCTCCCTATTTCCGGTAATTAAGTATTGTCATTGTCATTTTCAACTGAAGAAATACATCCAGTGTTTTTCGCATCTGTTACTCAGAGATATTGTTCTGAAACAAAGTAAAGTTAATCTTACAGTTTCCAACAAGATTTTTGAAACATGTCAAATGCTTGTGATAAACAATGTGAAACACTTCTTTGTAACTGTGTGAACGTATATGTCTGTTTTGGAGATTTCACTTCCCTCTCATGTGAAGCCTGCAAGAGGCAAGTGATACAACACAAGATCTCACTCAGATTACTCTTCCAGTTGAAATGAAGATCCTGTGTAGTCTGCTCACACAGTGTGTTTATTTCCACATGATCTCTTGAAACAGTAAACACAATTTCCCTCTGAACTTGAGTGAGGACAACTGAGACTTCAGCCGGAGTTCATTACACGAGCAGCTGCATGGTCGCCATGGTCCTGTAACGGCATCCGTTACACAACAGGGTTAACAAAGACAATGTTGTGGCCCTAGAGCTAGGTTGCAGTTACCCCAGGTCCATCACTGATATGCAGCTCTAAGACAGACTTGTGCCTGCACAAGCCAGCTCACTACACTACAACACAAGAACCCCAGTAATCCATTGTGAAGGATCATGCCAGATTCATGTCATAGTTGGGAACAAGTTCTAACCCTAACCAATTACAAAAAGTCTTTGTATAGTTACGCCTTGACACCTTTAATTGTTTTAATAAATAGAAAGATTATAAATCTCAAACTTAGAATGGAGCCTGCCAATTCATTTCCAGAATCCAGTCTACTGACAATGTTTTGTACGCACAGGAGAATCTGACACCCAACCAAGTAACTGATCTTGCTGGAATGCTGAGCCGTTGGTTGTGTAATCAAATTGATGAAAAAGTTCCATAGCCAACATATGTGCTCTGATGGTCCAATTCTTCAAATGATTACTTCCACCAATGTCAACACTGACTGGATGAGAACATTTACGTGATGCTGAAATGTTGAACTTAACCTGAATTAAACTAAATTCAAAAGTTCCTTTCCAAACATATTTGCTCTGTAGGCCCAATTCTTCCAATCATTTCAGACACTAATCAACACTGACTGGATGGGAACAGCTGAGGGATGCTTCTGTCAGTCTGTCGATGTCTGCGACGAGGGGGAATGGGGCTTGATGACTGCGTGGATGAGGACATTGATGCCATGGGGGAGCCTGGAGAAGCACTCTGCACTGGGGACCCTGGTTCCATTGGAGTGTGGTCGCCGCTTGATCCAGGGGAGTTGGCTGCAGCAGCAGGCCTGGAGGATAATGAGGAGGAGGGAGGAGAGTGGATGATGGGTAGCGGTTGGCTGCTACTGCTGCTGCTGCTGCTGCTGCTCCCACTGTTGCGATATTGTTCTTGATCCAGGCTAAGGGTGATGTCTTCCAATGAAATCTTGTCATTTATCTGCAGCTCCTCAAAGTTAAGGGGAGCCTTAATTGCTCGGGCAAGCCGGTGCCAGAACCACTCCATCAGGTCTCGTTTTGTGAAATCACAGAGAGTTACGTGGCGAAGGATCTGGGGTATAAAGCAGGGTGTGATGAGGACAGGCACCAACTTCTTGCTGCGGGAACCTACAAAACAAAGAAAATACATGCACAGATGGAAAAGTGGAATTGTTAGATCTTATCACACCTTGCGCTATGAAAACAACAACTTTTGTACTTGTTGAAGTGGTTTAAACATGTGATCCCATCTGACTGCAACATATACATCATGTACAACACTATATGTATGACACATCTGAGACTTGCACCACTTTAGGACTCACTCACTCACTCACCCAATCCACCCACTCACCCAATCCACCCACTCACTCACACACTCACACGAGTTGTCCCAAGTTGTCCCATCTATGCCTCTCCTATTGACAAATCACATTTCTGGTGTCCCCCGCCGTGATATTGCTGGAATATTGCTAAAAGCGGCGTAAAACCATACTCACTCACTCACTCACTATTGACAAATCAGATTCCGCCTCTTGTATCACTTACATTTGCTTCAAACAAAATGGCAGTACCCAGTCAAGACAATCTGATCAATAATCAAGATCTATATTGTGATAAAACGGGCCTTACATCGCAAAGTGCATCAAATCATATGAGCACCTTGATTAAAAACATGAAAAGTTTTCGAAAATAACTGTTGATGGCGTGTTGGAGGTGCACATGCTTTGCAAATCTTGCAATCGACCAAAATCAGCACAACAGTTTATGAACCAGATTTCAATTTCGTTTTGCGATTTTGATTGGACTATGCATAAACTCGTTAGTCCGGCCAAAATATAACTCCATAGTACCAGGTTAGTTCTGCAAGGGTGGTAACTGGACTTTTAAAGTTACTTAACTCACTTGTCTTGGGAAGATATATTATGATTGGTTAAGATTAACCCTTTTGAACCCAATACTGCCCTGAAATACATTGATCCTCACCTGGCGAGAGACTGTGGGCAAACTTCGTCTGGAAGTCGCAGGCCGGACTCTTTAAGAAGCGGGGAGACATAATGATCACCATTCTTCGACACCTGCAATATCGGGGGAAATACACAAATTACACCCACCATCAGCATGCTTTGAAATTCGGCTTTCTGTCATGTCAATAAGACCATGAGTTAATTCTGTTAGAGACAGTCATGACAACACAATCATCAAGCCCAACATAGTGATCACCCAACTCCCAATTTACTGACCACTTAAATGGAGTGGGTACTACATTACAGCCATTGCACAGCCACATCAAGTTGGCCAATAACACATTTTAGACGGAGCAGGGTGAATCTATTGTTGACAACAGAAACAATGATCCATCACATCAGGGCATGAAACAAGTCCTTATTTCAGTTCTATTATTGCAAGCATGGAGTACAGGTGACCAACAATCTGCACTGGAATCCCAAGGAAGAGACAAGCATGGAGAACTGGGGACCTACAGTCCAATTTGGAATCCCAAGGAAGAGACAAGCATGGAGTACTGGGGACCTACAATCTACTTTGGAATCCCAAGGAAGAGACAAGCATGGAGTACCGGGGACCTACAATCTACTGTGGAATCCCAAGAAGGAGACAAGCATGGAGTACTGGGGACCTACAATCTACTCTGGAATCCCAAGGAGCAGACAAGCATGAAGTACTGGGGACCTACAATCTACTGTGGAATCCCAAGGAAGAGACAAGCATGGAGTAGTGGGGACCTACAATCTACTCTGAAATCCCAAGGAAGAGACAAGCATGGAGTAGTGGGGACCTACAATCTACTCTAAAATCCCAAGGAAGAGACAAGCATGGAGTACCGGGGACCTACAATCTACTCTGGAATCCCAAGGAAGAGACAAGCATGGGGTACTGGGGACCTACAATCTACTCTGAAATCCCAAGGAAGAGACAAGCATGGAGTACTGGGGACCTACAATCTACTCTGGAATCCCAAGGAAGAGACAAGCATGAAGTACTGGGGACCTACAATCTACTCTAAAATCCCAAGGAAGAGACAAGCATGGAGTACTGGGGACCTACAATCTACTTTGGAATCCCAAGGAAGAGACAAGCATGGGGTACTGGGGACCTACAATCTACTTTGGACTCCCAAGGAAGAGACAAGCATGGGGTACTAGGGACCTACAATCTACTTTGGAATCCCAAGGAAGAGACAAGCATGAAGTACTGGGGACCTACAATCTACTTTGGAATCCCAAGGAAGAGACAAGCATGGAGTACTGGGGACTTACAATCTACTTTGGACTCCTAAGGAAGAGACAAGCATGGGGTACTAGGGACCTACAATCTACTTTGGAATCCAAAGGTAGAGACAAGCATGGGGTACTGGGGACCTACAATCTACTTTAAAATCCCAAGGAAGAGACAAGCATGGGGTACTAGGGACCTACAATCTACTCTGGAATCCAAAGTAAGAGACAAGCATGGAGTACTAGGGATCTACAATCTACACTGAAATCCCAAGGAAGAGACAAGCATGGAGTAGTGGGGACCTACAATCTACACTTGAATCCCAAGGAAGAGACAAGCATGGAGTACTGGGGACCTACAATCTACACTGGACCTACAATCAACTTTGGACTCCCAAGGAAGAGACAAGCATGGGGTACTGGGGACCTACAATCTTCTCTGGAATCCAAAATAAGAGACAAGCATGGAGTACTAGGGACCTACAATCTACTCTGAAATCCCAAGGAAGAGACAAGCATGGAGTACCAGGGACCTACAATCTACTCTGGAATCCCAAGGAAGAGAAAAGCATGGGGTACTGGGGACCTACAATCTACTCTGAAATCCCAAGGAAGAGACAAGCATGAAGTACTGGGGACCTACAATCTACTCTAAAATCCCAAGGAAGAGACAAGCATGAAGTACTGGGGACCTACAATCTACACTGGACCTACAATCTACTTTGGACTCCGAAGGAGCAGACAAGCATGAAGTACTGGGGTTTTACAATCTACACTGGAATCCCAAGGAAGAGACAAGCATGGAGTACTGGGGACCTACAATCTACACTGGAATCCCAAGGAAGAGACAAGCATGGAGTACTGGGGACCTACTATCTACACTGGAATCCCAAGGAAGAGACAAGTATGGGGTACTGACGACCTACAATCTACACTGGAATCCCAAGGAAGAGACAAGCATGGAGTACTGGAGACCTACAATCTTCTCTGGAATCCCAAGGAAGAGACAAGCATGGAGTATTGGGGACCTACAATCTACACTGGAATCCCAAGGAGCAGACAAGCATGGAGTACTGGAGACCTACAATCTTCTCTGGAATCCCAAGGAAGAGACAAGCATGGAGTATTGGGGACCTACAATCTACACTGGAATCCCAAGGAGCAGACAAGCATGGAGTACTGGGGACCTACAATCTACTCTGGAATCCCAAGGAAGAGACAAGAATCTATTCCGTAATGAAGGGGTCACATCTATGTTGAAGGAGCTTACCTGTCCTGGATAAGCTTAGCTGAGACTGTGTGTGTGGATGACCCTGGCAGATCGTCTCTCCAAGGAACAAACAGCTTCAGCCCATACCGTGCAGACTCCAGCTCAGACAGCATCTTCTTCACAAACTGCAGGTCATAGCCCTCCGGGTCGTAGCACACGAACGCATCATAAAAAGCTGGTGAGTTGTTCTCAACTGAAAAAAACCAAGTGATACAAGTGAGATAACATTCATTGTCTGAAGCGTTTATTCTATGTGAATTCAAGAATCGATGTTATTGTCAATTGCATCGTATTGGCTTTTGTTGTTGCAATGTGAGAATGTTATTTGTTTGCTTCAAACAAAATGGCAGTACCCAGTAAAGACAATCTGATCAATAATCAAGACCTATATTGTGATAAAAAGGGCCTTACATCACAAAGTGCATCAAATCACGTAAGCACCTTGATTAAAAAAATGAAAAGGTTTGGAAAATATCTGTTGATGTCATGTTGGAGGTGCACATGCTTTGCAAATCTTGCAATCGACCGAAATCAGCACAACAGTTTACGAACCAGATTTCGATTTCATTTCGCAATTTTGATTCGACTATGCATAAACTCATTAGTCCCGCCAAAATATAACTCCATAATACCATGCTACTCCGGCAAGGGTGGTAACGGGACTTTCAAAGTTAAATCCCAAGGAAGAGACAAGAATCTATTCTGTGACGAAGATGTCACTTCTATGTTGAAGGAGCTCACCTGGACTGGATAAACTCAGCTGAGACTGTATGTGTGGGCGATACATCGTATTGGCTTTCGTTGTATACATGTGATGTTATTGTAATGTGTGAACGTTATTAGAATGATGTCTTAAATTAATGGATCTTCAAGATTAACCTTCACTTGAAGCAGCAAGTTTTGTTCATTCACAAGATCCATTTAGAGAAATGTACCACAGCAAAATTATCTACATATTAAATTGTATGCTGATATTATTTACTGTGGCCTAGGTACTACTATGGTAAAAACATGATGAGATTTGTAGTTTGTCAGTGCCTTTTCACAAAACAATAATACAAAGGTGGTAAAAAAACGTAAGACCCAACACAGCTTTTATACATCCCTGTTTTCGGACAAGCAATTGATTCAGAGTATGCATTTCCTTTCAATTGAAATTAAGGGATGCCATGGTTTGTGAGTTTTCTCTGCTGTGGTATTGGTCTACTATTTGATCAAGTGACCACCTCATGTTTTTATGTTAATCATGATGATTATGACAAGCGTCCCCTTGACTTCCATGTTCAGCTTCAAACATCACTACCAAGTCGATGTAGTTTGTGTAGACAGAAAAGCTTCCTACCATCCTGAACAGTCATGTATCTGTATTCATCAGTGTCATGATCTGTGAAATCAGAAGATTCGGGTGTGGAACTCTGGGATATGGTGTCATCCTGGAGAGGTACGACGGCGTCCTGGCGACGTTCCTGCTGTGACACGTAGTGCTCGATATCCAGAACTGAAACCATGAGAGGGGCATCTGTATGAAACACTTCCCAACATATCAGTTACATATAATATGTATCACAACACAAAAGTATCAATGTGATAGTATCAAGACAAGAAAGAAGTGAGCAAAGCTCACATACCCCCCTTATCCCCACTTGTCAACAACATATAGTAAATAGTTTGTTAATTAATGAAATATTACATATTTCTAACTGATTTTAACTTCAATGTTTCAAAAACTAAGGTTGACTTCCAGTGACAATTGACACCCCCCCCCCCCCCCCCCCCCCCCAAATCTCCCATGATACCAGTGTTCACTACGAGGAAGTAGATCACCATGAACACCTTTGAATAATAATTTGATTGAGGAGTTACATAAGAAGAATTATCAAAAGGACCAAAAATTGCTGATATAAAAACACATAAAAAATGGAACAATATCATATAAGAAAATCAGTAAATTAAAAATTTCCATCTAGCCTTAACAGATATGGTAAAGAATTCATAAATTCTAAGTAACACAAAGCACAGATAATTATGATGATCTACATGTGTGCAAAACAATTTTGGAAAACTTATTAGCTATACAAAACCAGTCAGCAAAATTTCTAAATTCCTTCATGTTTCCATGAAAACAGCAAAAGAGAAAACTTTCAGAATCTTATAAAAGATAAAAAAACGTCATAGTGGTTAATGTAGCAAGTTTGCTGAATCTAGGATACATAATATTGTAAACATGGATCGTACAAAAACTCTACCCAAAATTTATGTTTCACCATGATTCCATGGAAACGGCAAAATTAAAAAATTTAGAATCTTCAAACTAGCAAAAGGCACAAGTACTCATTGTGGTTAATGTGTGTAGAAAGTTTGGTGAAGCTAGGGTGCATAGTTAAAAAGATATAGTCCGTACAAAACACCCACCCTAAAAGTTTAAGTTTCTAATGTTTCCATGGAAACGGCAAAAATTAAAAAATTCAGATTCTTCAAACTAGCAAAAGGCACAAGTACTCATTGTGGTTAATGTGTGTAGAAAGTTTGGTGAAGCTAGGGTGCATAGTTAAAAAGATATAGTCCGTACAAAACACCCATCCTAAAAGTTTAAGTTTCTAATGTTTCCATGAAAACGGCAAAAATTAAAAAATTCAGATTCTTCAAACTAGCAAAAGGCACAAGTACTCATTGTGGTTAATGTGTGTAGAAAGTTTGGTGAAGCTAGGGTGCATGGTTAAAAAGTTATGGGCCATACAAAAGCTCGGATGGAAGGACGGACGGACGGACCCTACTCATCGACCCTATGTTTGTTGGTAACACCGGTACTACTTTTCCTACAACTTGCTGATCCTGAGTTTGTTGGTAACACCGGTACTACTTTTCCTACAACTCACCGACCATGTGTTTGTTGGTAACACCGGTACAACTTTTCCTACAACTCACCGACCCTGAGTTTGTTGGTAACACCGGTACAACTTTTCCTACAACTCACCGACCATGTGTTTGTTGGTAACACCGGAACTACTTTTCCTACAACCCTGTGTTTATTGGAACCATCACTAATGGCGCTTTGATGATAATTTTCTGGTTGCCCTGTACCCAAGCAATTTTTACATAATTTCAAAGACACATTAATCATCAAATTACAACCAATCAGATATTTCAATAGAGTCAAGATGTATAAAAATTCAAACAATAACAGGACTAGGGCAATTTGAATGTGACTCACCAATGCTACGTTTGCAGTCTGTCAGCACATCCTCACGGCCCATCACCTTGAGATAGTAAAAGAGCTGGCCTACAGTCGGGGACAAGTCTGGTCTCCTCGTCCACTCGTTCAGCACCTCCGTCGTAGGGTCTCTCTGTCGGCCAAAGTTCTGGATCTCCAGGAAGGAGAAGCCAATTTGCTCGGCCAGTCCATTATAGTCTGGTACAATGCCTTCTTCATTCAGCAGCCTCTCGATGTTGAGGTAGAGAGACAGCTTCTTTCGAGCTGACACCCGGAGTGCATCCAGGGACACATTCCTGCAGCACGAGAGAAAAGGGAGTGTTGGTTGGTTGCTTTGTTGTTTAACGCCGCACTCAGCAATATTCAAGCTATATTATATGACGGCGGTCTGTAAATAATCGAGTCTGGACCAGACAATCCAGTGATTAATATAATGAGCATCGATCCATGCAATTGTCAGCGAGCCTGACCACCCGATCCCGTTAGTCGCCTTTTACGACAAGCATAGTCGCCTTTTACGGCTGAAGACCTATTCTACCCCGGAATCTTCAGGGATCGGAAAAGGGAGGGGATTATTTTTTTAAGTTTGGGGTGTGTTTATGTGTATACAGGCATGTATCAGTAGGCATTCAACTGCTGCAATGACACATCTTAGTCCTAAAAAATACTACTGAAGACTGCATTAAAACATCAATCATAATAAAATCCTTCTATTATAGTTTTAATATCACAATCAGTGAATGAGTGCATTGGGTTTAACATCGCTTTTATTATCATTCCAGTTATATCACGGCATGTCAACTTAATATTGGAGGAAAGGTCGAAAGTGATGCAGGTCTCAGACGTTTACCACTTCGGTGAAACCTACAATGCACGGGTATGGTGCTGACAAACTTAGAAACATAATCGGGCCGAACCGGGATTTGAACCCACAATCATAGGTTTCTGGTTTGCCCAAGGGACGCAACTGGGAAGCGAATTGCGGCGCCTTAGATGACTTGGCCACACGTGCCCCCTCACAATCAGTGATGCGTATGGTATTGTATCACTTTTAGCAACATTCAAGCAAAGACATGATGGGCATGTCTCAGTAAAGTGGATGTTGAAAATCATTTTAAATTACGACTGTTTATTATCTTGCTCATGGTAAAATGGCATTCATAAAGTTCAGAGGTGGTTCAAAGTAATCTTCTTGTTGGAGCAAGTAAATTCAAAGGGCCCCCCGTTTTTGAGTGAGTGAGAATGGTTTTACGCCGCTTGTACCAACATTCCGGCAATATCAAGGCGGTGGACACCAGAAATGGGCTTCACACATTGTTCCCATGTGGGGAATCGAACCCGGGTCTTCAGAGTGACCTCGGCTTTTGAAGTACACTCTTCACATTCAGATCATAAATAAATAGACGATGTAACATTGTATGTTGACAAGATTTTTTAGGCAAATGATGAACAAGTACTCTCACATTACTGTTTATCTTTCACTGTTGTCTAAAACGTAGATCATAATAGGAGCCAACCTATTTTTCCAAAGAGCCAGATGGAGAGTCTGAGATGGGACACATGTTTGCCCAGGTTTCATTTGGGGTTGGGCATATGTATGCAGGGGCTTCGTTGTGTGAAGTCTAATGATGGGAATTCAATTGTAAAAGACAGGTACATTAAATAATAATGTAAATATTTCCTTTTGGTACAATATCACTTACTTTTACTTTTAGGTTGCCAAGTGGCAGGCAGTACTGGTAGATAAATTTAGGTCGCCAATCATAGATGTTCGGAAGATGTTCGGAAGAGTTTTGGAAGAAATTGTCTTTAGTACAAAATGTCCAATTGAGAATTATTTTATCTGCTTCCTGGATAAAAAGCTCTTATCATGCCCACACTGAAGTTGGCTGAACCCTGAGCTTTATTCAAACATTTACTATCAGAAGAAATGTGTGCATAATCAGAAAAAAATGACTTCATGCAATTTTAGATAGCGACTTGTTGTGTAACCAAGGACGAAACATTTTTTATTGTTACAGTCATTATACAATATATCATGTGACTAACCATTGGTCGTCATGGAGATACCCACCCGACCTGCGTACCGACGTTACCTGTCCCAGCCCTAGTGCGTAGTACTGCCATACAAAATGTCACAAGGCCCTCATTTAGTCATGTGAAGGTATTAGCCGCTATATAAATACAAACACTGCTACATGTGGCAACCCAGGGGATGGGGTAACAGCATCTTCTTGTACAGTGTTCCTATGTCCAACAAGGCAACAACTCTTTTCACTTACAAAGAGATGATATATTAATGAGAAGTTTTCACTGTAAGTGTTGATGAGTAAAGATGGCTGATGATAATTTTTATGTCCCAAAGGGTGATAACTCTCCTTTTGAAATGATATAAGTGAGTGTCCAACAAGTCGCTTCCGTGCTAGTTTCCGGCTCAGTGTTCGCTGCAACAACATATTACTCCTCTCAAACGGACCACGTGAAAGGATACTTTGAGGGCTGAGGGATAACCTATTTTACGGTAAATGTTCACATCAATGTGTTTACGGGGTGTTGAAATCATTTTCAATCCTTACAATTGAAAAGAGAAACAATGTTCATTGAAAAGTATCAACATGAGTATATGTTTTGGAAATAAAGTGAAACACACTCCTGTCAATGTATTCTGCTTATCCCACGTCAATGACAAAATCTGTAGATTTGTTGTGACACTGCAGGTTAGCATGTGTAGCATACTCACTATTCAAATATTAACGCCATATAGATCTACCTATTTCTGGCACAAGGACAAATGGAAACATGACCAGACATAGTTTATTATCATGTACGATGCGCGCCCTACGAGTAGAGATCCTAGGTCAGCAGAAAATAGCGGCAAGCAAGTGAATAGCCAAACAACTTCTTACATGGTATTTGGGAATGTACATTGCTTCATTTGGCATTGCCGCAGTCATATTTGTTACGTGTGGGGACGAGTAAGGTTAGGAAACTAATGACGGTGAACATAAAATTCACAATGAGGCTTTTGGAAAATTTCAGCATTGCGTGTGGTGCCAAACGGTGGATGAACGGAGCTTCACTGCCGTTTGCAGGAAGTAATTTTACGAGTCCGGTTTTCTATCACCACAAAGTGGAAATGAAAAATTGTTTTGGAGTTGATGTTATTTGACAGGAATGTCATAGTTACTTGTGAATTTTGATCATTTATTGGATAAAGGGCGAAACAAAAGCCCACTTGTAAAAGATCTTGTTAAAGATCACTATGTATCACAGGTCTGGGCAGTTTTATCCAGATCTACATGGATACTTTTAAGCCTATATCGATCAGAGATCAGATACCGATGTATGGAATCTGTATCAATCGATAAAGGTGTGATCACGTAGTTTCATTTTGAGATATGGTTATTTCACGATCGATTATTAGTTTATATTAAGAAGTTATTAACTATGCCATAGAGAGTTGATGTAAACCATAAACATTTATTTTTAAAAAGGTTTATACAGGAAGGACTTCCATCGTACAGTTTTTCCCCGACCAAGGGGAGACGTACGATAGTCTTCCCAAGTGACAATAATAGAGGGGTCTCACCGGGATCCTGACCAAATTTCCCACTGGGATCCCACAGAAATTTCCTCTAGGGACATCAGGTTAAGAAATTTATGTACATTTGTGATGAAATACTGAAAAAATAGATTAAAAAATATTTCCAGAGCTCTATTTCAAAGGTGATTGATGCCAAATATAAATATATATATCAAGACAAGATTCCATTTATTAAATCAAAATTCCAAATAATGGTAATAATTTGATGAGGAAAAACAGATCTTGCAGTATACATTTTTCAGGTCATTACCCATTTGTAGAAAAATACTTTCCAGAGCCCCATTTCAAATTTGATCTATTCTAACTAAAGATATATTACTTCAGTTTATCAAGGGCCCTAGTCCTGGGTATACCAGCAATATAATTGTGTAGAAAGTTACTAGTCCCTGATACTCTGCTGCTATTTTTGGCATACAATGTTTGTACATACCTTTGTTGCAGATCTTTTAATGATAAACATTTATTTGCACTTTTGGTTTACCGTGATATAGTCTACCACATGGGTGGTGTGTGCTTGTTTTATCATGTGGTTATAGGGATGTTTATTGTAATTGTCACAGTACATCAAACAGTTTGGGAAAGAGTTTGCCAAACCAATTACTTTTGATATGCACACTGACATTTATTTGCTATCATTTGTAAACAGAAGCTGAGGAGGAAGTCTGTAGCTGGTCTCAAAAGCCACTGACAAGGACATGGTGACCCATGTAAAAGAATGGTTCGAGTTTCAGAAGCAAGGCTCAAAAGTGAGTGAGTGAGTGAGTATGGTTTTATGCCGCTTTTAGCAATATTCCAGCAATATCACGGCGGGGGACACCAAAAATGGGCTTCACACATTGTACCCATGTCGGGAATCGAACCTGGGTCTTCGGCATGGCGAGCGAACGCTTTAACCACTAGGCTACCCGACCTCCCCCAAGGCTCAAAAAGGCGCAAGGAAAACGTAAAATGAAAAACAAAACTGCAGCTAAGGAATCTGTAAACAAAAGTGCTAAATTGTAAAGGCACAAGGAAATCCAAAGTTGTTTCTGCACTTTATATGACAAAAGATTTGTTGTTGACAACTTATCTCTCACAGGGTTATGACCCTCGCTTTATGTTTTTAAACTTGGTACATACCGACAGGTTTTCTTGGATACTACTGAGGTTACATAAAAAAACTTTCCATGCTAATCTGAGGGACATATGTCAGGCAAAATTCAAAAGTTGGTTTTGAGAATGTATTTTGTATGGAGTTATGGCCCTTGCTTCATGCTTTTTCAACCTGATGCATCAATGATTGGGAAAACTAGTGTTTTTTACAAACTGTTGAAGCCACATAAAGGACATTTTGCACGCTAACATGAGGGATATATGTTTAGACTGAGTCTTAAAACTGGTTTTGAGATACATAATTATTACTTAAGGTTCCTTTTCAAACTCTTGTGTAAGTATTAATCATGATCACAAATGATTATCTTAAATAATATATATATTAAAAAATTCAGTATTCTTTAATTTTTCCTCTACTCCTCGTAACTTTAACGCCAGAGCTGTAGCTTTGGAAATGTTTAGTTTATGTGCCCTAACACTACACTTGGAAATGTTTAGTTTATGTGCCCTAACACTACACATGGAAATGTTTAGTTTATGTGCCCTAACACTACACTTGGAAATGTTTAGTTTATGTGCCCTAACACTACTCATGGAAATGTTTAGTTTATGTGCCCTAACACTACACATGGAAATGTTTAGTTTATGTGCCCTAACACTACACATGGAAATGTTTAGTTTATGTGCCCTAACACTACACTTGGAAATGTTTAGTTTATGTGCCCTAACACTACACTTGGAAATGTTTAGTTTATGTGCCCTAACACTACACTTGGAAAAGTTTAGTTTATGTGCCCTAACACTACACTTGGAAAAGTTCTTTTGTGGCATTATTGCGCATGAAATATTAAGATGAGATGTTCTCAGTAATGACTACTGCAGGCAACTACTCTACAGAACATCAGTCTATTTAACACAATGGCAGATGAGGAAACTTTAACGATGTATTAAGAAACAATGAAAGTTTGGATGTTTTGGACTATTGCATGTTGATCGCCATTTGTTTCATAATTTGTGCATTTCTTTTTCAGAAAATCAAAAATTGCCATCAAATATTATGAAAGGTAAAAATACTGAACATCCCAGCTGCAATTGTAAATGAGCTTTTAGCAATATTCCAGCTATACCTGAAATGGGCTTCACACATTGTACCCATATTGTAAATGAGCATAGAATAGAAGATGAAGTCTGAATGACCACTGCTTGGGTGGTGATAGAACCTGAGAACTTGGACAAGGATGATTCTAAACCTATAATTACTGTCGGGCCAATGTCAACCCAATGCTGTGCCGATAATTATTGTTGTCATTGGGCCAATGAAAATACGATGCTGAGCCAATAATAATTTCGAAATAAGGTAGGAGTAATTCCACTTCAAACACATTCCAGAAACTATCATAATGTGTTCTTACGAGGAGCTGTGACAAACCTGAACAAGTCCTGTATTTGATCATGCGATGAAACATCGTGCTTAGATTTGCATAAGTAAACAGTCAACAGGGGTGTGTGGATTATGAGAATTACAGATACCGCAATAATATAGAGCCAGCCATAATATAGAGCCAGCTATAATATAGAGCTAGCCATAATATAGAGCCAGCCATAATATAGAGCCAGCCATAATATAGAGCCAGCCATAATATAGAGCCAGCCATAATATAGAGCCAGCTATAATATAGAGCCAGCCATAATATAGAGCCAGCCATAATATAGAGCCAGGATTAATATAGAGCCAGCATTAATATAGAGCCAGCTATAATATAGAGCCAGGATTAATATAGAGCCAGCCATAATATAGAGCCAGCCATAATATAGAGCCAGCTATAATATAGAGCCAGCTATAATATAGAGCCAGCCATAATAGAGCCAGCTATAATATAGAGCCAGCCATAATATAGACAGCTATAATATAGAGTCATACCAAGTATTCATATGGCTATTAATTGTTTGGTCTATTTTGTAGGAAGGGCCGAGTATTTTCTCTTGGTCACAATCGCAGTGTGCCATGCAATCCTCGCTTGGTCCTTGTCATCTGGGTTATCTTGAAATTAGGCCAAGCCAGTGGGTGGGGTTGGATGTCTTTTTTTAAGAGGTTGGCCCGATCATTAGGTTAAAGGTCGGGTCTGTGTCGTCTCTCTCACCTGTATCGTGATGGAATCGACACATCATCGTCGTCCGAATTAGACGCCATGTCACTTAGCCTACGTCACTTGCACAATCCGTCACATTGGTCGCGGTTGAACTGTCGAGGGTAGCTCTACATCTGAAAGGGAGGAATGAAATCAATATGATGACTTCTGTATCTTGTAATGACACATACAGTCCGTAAGAAAATGCCACTCCTCTATTGGTGGCGGTGTTTACTAATACCTGTTGTCGTCTGTATACTGCGTATTTTCATAGACTGTTGAAAACTTCGCTCATATCCTGTGTCACCCAACCAGGAAGTAAAGTGCGAAATTGAAATAAGTCTTATTGTCGTTATTGGCCGTTTCCTGTCTTCATTTTTACACACGTCTTGATAATTGCACTGGTATAACAATTCGTTAAATATGTACGTGTTTATTTATTACGTTAATTTACTATTACAGAAAGTAATCTTGCGTGTTACGACATCAAAATGACTACGAGTTGCGCCCCTTTACTCGTGACACCGTCGTTGCGATCCGGCTCGCTGTGAGGAGCTTGGCATCCGGCGCTACTTCAAGACCCAGTTCAGTTCAAGAAACATGTAGGGTGACCAATCGGTGGCTTAAATATACAAATAATAACTGTATTAATCTAGTTGTGGGGTAACGGCGATGATTTTCCCACACCCTATACAAGGTCATATGAATAGTCTGTAGTTGTCCCTTTCCCAGACCAGTACTCGTCTCACGTTTCATTGATATTGAAAATACACAAGGATGTTTCTTTTATATATACTAATGTGTAGAGTGACCAGTTGGAGTCATACATATTAAAAATGATAATTGCATTTATACCAGTTGTAGGGTAGCGGCCATGATTGTCCCACATCCTATATATGCAACACAATCTGAAAAGCCTGTAGTTGTCCCTTTCCCAGAGCGGTGTCAATCTCCCGTTTACTGGGTATGGAAAATACACAAGGATATGTTTCTATTATTTACCACGGACCTATATACAAGTCCGTGTATATACTAATGTGTAGAGTGACTAATCGGTGGCTTAAATATACAAATAATAACTGTATTAATCTATCGGTGGCTGAGTGGGTAAGATCGCTGACTTTGTGTGCTGGCGATTAGGTGCCTCACTCTGAAAGTGTGGGTTCGAATCCCGGATGGGACTCAACCCAAGAAGTACGAGAATCTGTACTTTACTCAGAAATTGTTATCCCAAATATGACATTTGTTGTATTAATCTAGTTGTGGCAAGGCAATCTGAACAGACAGTAGTCCCTTTCCCGGGTAAAATGAAATAATATGGAAAATACGCATAATAATGTGCAAGAGTGACATGCCAGTGGACTAAATATAAACAAGTGAATTGTATTATATCACTTCTAGGGGTAGCAATTTGGTTTGTTTGTTGTTTAACGCCGCACTCAGAAACATTCCAGCTATATATGACAGCGGTCTGTAAATAATCGAGTCTTGACCAAACAGTCCAGAGCATCAATCCACGCAACTGGGATACGATGACATGCATCAACCAAGTCAGCGAGCCTGACCACACGATCCCGTTAGTCGCCTCTTACGACAAGCATAATCGCCTTTTACGGCAAGCATGGGTTGCTGAAGACCTATTCTACCCCGGATCTTCACAGGTTGGTAGTGATTAGGATTTTCACACGCCGATATTTAAGGCAATATGAACAGTCTGTAGTTGTCTCTTTCCCAGACCTGTGTATAATGATATGGAACAAAAAAGGCTCTTTCTTTCATATGTGTAGTGTGAAATGTGTGTGGCGTAAATATAAAACAATGTATGTAATACATGTATATCAACTGTGGGGGTAGCGTCGATGAGTTCCCCACACCGTTTATGAGGCAATATAAACCGTCTGCAGTTGTCCCTTCACCAGACTAATTTTCGTGGCACGTATAAAATGGTATGGTATATGCAAGACTCTTTCTCTATAATTATGTGTAAGAATTACATATCATTGGGGTAAATCTATAAAAAAGATTGTATTCTACCAATTAAAAACATTTTGAAGAACGTTGAATAGATTAAAGGCACTGGCTTCGAATATCCTCCAGCTGTAAACATGTATTTTCCTTTATGTTTAATTATTTATATGAGAATTTGACAACTTAGGATTCAGTGGTTAAGCTTATGTTAAGTCGAGATTCCACTTTGATTATTCAAAATTATTTAAATCCGAGGGTCAACAGAAAATATTGCATAATAAATGTGAGCCAATCAGTTTTCATATATCTGTTTTCCTCTCTGATGACTTACCTCTAGAAAAACGACAAATAAGGGATCAGAGCAAAACATTGTCGCCTGGGTTCAGAAAAGAAAGTTCAGCTATGGTTTGTCAGCTATGTTAGTGAGAATCCGTGAATGTGTATGAGTGAGTGAGTTGGGTTTAACGCCGCTTTTAACAGTATTCCAGTTATATCACGGCGTGTCAAACCTAGAATCATAATCGGGGCGAACCGGGATTCGAACCCACAATCATAGGTTTCTGTCGTACCCAAGGGACGCAACTCTGCACAGCGAATCGCGGCGCCTTAGACGACTGGGCGACCTGTGCCCCCTGAATGTGTAGGAAGAATATGAATCTGTATATACGTTCTAGTATCTAGTCAAACGGATTTTACAAACGTGCATGTATTTATCAGTTTATTGTAGTGTAATACATTAATTACGATGATGTCTAAAGAGATTAAATCAAACTACAGATGATCTCAATCGTCACCTTCTTAACACTACAGATAACAAAATTAATGGCTTTAAATGTGTCAAATTAAATGATATTGAATTAAATATATATTTGCACATTCAAAAAACATGTTCCAGTCTGTATTTTAATGTTTAGTGAAAACAAATATTCTCCTTTACCGTTATTTGTTATGAAAAATTGTCCCAGAATACTGCGTTCGCTTTTCACAAATATTTATTCAGACATAAATGTGTAAAATAGTGTTATAATGTGACTGGGATTTGTCTAATATTAGTCGCGCATTTCGTTTTGTCGTGCGGAAGCTCAAATACAGTATAGTTGAACTATACGCGCGTGTTCAATAAGCGTACCTCTCGATAAACGTAGCGCTGAGGCCTTGCCTGGGAAAGTGACATATACTGACGCGACCAAGAACCGCATGACCCAGTCCTATACTTCCTGTTCTGGGTCGTGATTATGTGGTCTAAGTATAGCATCATGAACAGTGGAAATATAGAAGGGTAATAATAGTAAACTGCAGTTTCATACTGACAGTGAAAGACCACATTATGTTATGTAAAGGCAGGAAATGACAAGAGCTCAAGGGCTCTTAGACGGCGTTCCTAAACAATTTATATATAACTTGTATTTATGTTTTCGCGCCCCACTTTTCACTGTCATTTTAGTGTTATGGTATGAAGTGTCATTTAGTGTACGATGTACTGCATCCATGAATATTCACACATGTATGCTGTGTCATCCATTATCCATTGGATGTGATGTTGGTCCAGTACATAAATGGTGCGTGAGTGAATCATATTAAGATATATATGGCTTCATTTTGCGTGAATGAGCGATGTTAATATATGGTTTCATGGTGCGTGAGTGAGTGATGTTAACATATGGCTTCATGGTGCGTGAGTCAGTGATGTAAATATATGGTTTCATGGTGCGTGAGTGAGGGATGTTAATATATGGCTTAATGGTGCGTCAGTGAGTCATATGACTTCATGGTGCATACATGATGTCAATTATATGGCTTCATGGTGCGTGAGGGATATTAATATATGGTTTCATGGTGCGTGAGTGAAGTTAATATATGACTTCATGGTGCGTGATTGAGTGATGTTAACATATGACTTCATGGTGCGTGGATGAGTGATGTAAATATATGTCTTCATGGTGCGTGGGTGAATGATGTAAATATATGGCTTCATGGTGCGTGAGTGCGTGATGTTAATGTATGATTTCATGGTGCGTGAGGGATGTTAATATATGGTTTCGTGGTGCGTGAGTGAAGGATGTAAATATATGGCTTAATGGTGCGTCAGTGAGTCATATCATATGACTTCATGGTGCGTGAGTGCGTGATGTTAATATATGGCTTAATGGTGCCTAAGTGATGTTAACACATGGCTTCATGGTGCGTGAGTGAGATTAATATATGATTTCATGGTGCGTGAGTGCGTGATGTTAATATATGACTTCATGGTGCGTGAGGGATGTTAATATATGGCTTAATGGTGCGTCAGTGAGTCATATCATATGACTTCATGGTGCGTGAGTGCATGATGTTAATATATGGCTTAATGGTGCCTAAGTGATGTTAACACATGGCTTCATGGTGCGTGAGTGAGATTAATATATGATTTCATGGTGCGTGAGTGCGTGATGTTAATATATGACTTCATGGTGCGTGGGTGCGTGATGTTGATATATCGTTTATGGTGCGTGAGTGAGGGATGTTAATATATGGCTTAATGGTGCGTCAGTGAGTCATATTATATGGCTTCATAGTGCTTGAGTGAAGTTAATATATGACTTCATGATGCGTGAGTGCGTGATGTTAATATATGGTTTCACGGTGCGTCAGTGAGGGGTGTTAATATAAGGCTTAATGGTGCGTGAGTGAGTCATATTACATGACTTCATGGTGCGTGAGTGATGTTAACACATGGCTCCATGGTGCGTGAGTACGTGATGTTAATATCTGGCTTACTGGTGCGTTAGTGAGTCATATTATATGGCTTCATAGTGCTTGAGTGAAGTTAATATATGACTTCATGATGCGTGAGTGCGTGATGTTAATATATGGTTTCACGGTGCGTCAGTGAGGGATGTTAATATAAGGCTTAATGGTGCGTGAGTGACTCATATTATATGGCTTCATTGTGCGCGAGTGCGTAATGTTAACATATGACTTCATGGTGCGAGAGTGAGGTTGATATATGACTTCATGTTGCTTGAGTGCGTGATGTTAATATATGGCTACATGGTGCGTGAGTAATGTTAATATATGACTTCATGGTGCGTCAGTGAGTGATGTTAATATATGGCTTACTGGTGCGCCAGTGAGTCATAATATATGACTTCATGGTGCGCGAGTGGGTAATGTTGAAATATGTCTTCATGGTGCATGAGTGAGTGATGTAAATATATGGTTTATGGTGCGTGAGTGAGGGATGTTAATATATGGCTTAATGGTGCGTCAGTGAGTCATATTATATGACTTCATGGTGCGTGAGTGATGTTAACATATGGCTTCATGGTGCGTGAGTACGTGATGTTAATATCTGGCTTCATGGTGCGTGAGTGAGTGATGAGTTGATGACCTGCATCACTCAATGAATCACTTGAAACCCACGAGCACGGGTATGGTGCTGACAAACCTAGAAACATAATGGGGGTTTATAAATTACCGGGATCCGAACCCCACAATCATAGGTTTCTTGCGTGCCCAAGGGACACATTTCTGCACAGCGAATCGCGGCGCCTAAGACAACTCGGCCACCCGTGCCGTGTCCCCTCATTACGTGAAAGAACCACCATATCCCCCCCCCAAAAAAAAAAACAAAACACACCCCACCCCCCACCCCTCACACACATGCACCACAAAGCATTACAAATGAGCGGTCCCTAACACAGTTAGTGTAACGTTATCAGGACAACGTTACATTATCGGGGAACAAATTAACGATATGTTGTCGGCGTTTGCATTTGACTACAGGTAGTAATCAATATATTGTTTCCTATGAGAAACTGGTGTCTATTGATTGGTGTGACTTTTCCTTCATAGACCTTCCCAATTACGTGTTGTGTGTAAAGATATGAACTGTACACAAACAGCACATGTTTACCATGGGCACGATTCAAGCAGAAGAGGTCTACTATTGATTGCTAAATTTTGTTATAAATTGTTATCCTACAATAAAACAACATTATGTCTTATCCGTCTCATCATAGCAAAAATATTTTTACTTCAGATTGTAAAGACAGGAAAGGTATACTGTGTTATACAAGTAGTAACGTATTAGTAATGTTTTGAGGGGGACAATTACGGTTGAGAAACAATGAAGGTGGGTAAACATATATGTTGTCCTTTATGTGATCGAAGTACAGACGATGAATATCCTTTTAACTTGTATGTGCTAGTTTTGATGCTCTTACTAAAGTCATATATCACTAATGTAAATATGCATGCTTTAACAAGATAATTGCCGCCACAAACGTTACGGAAGAAATGAAAGTAATAAGCTTCTATATTTATTATGCTAAGGAAAGAAGAAAGTATTTGTTATACGAATTCTTGAGATTTATGGCAATATGTCTACCACGTGTATCTAATTGCACAAGTTCTGCACGTGCTAAACAAGTTCGGCACGTGTTGATGCTCTAAAGCATTACAAACAGCTTTGTTCGTTTAAGTCTAATTTTTAAAAATATTTGTAGCGGTGCTATCAACAAGGCACTTACAACCAAAACGTCTAAACGGTTTTCGAAATACTTTTTAAATGTAACCCATATTCACAACCCGATAAAGTTTAAAATTGCTATTTCAAAACGTTTTTCAAAATGAATTTCAGTGTGAAAAAGGAAAAAGAATTCTTTAATTTTGTTTCAGATTTTGCTTTACTGTCTGACACTTGTGAAGGAGACAGTTGACAACACTTGTGATTTAGATACTGAGATAATCTCTAACGAAGTCCCGTGATGCAGTACAGGGAATCAAACGTGGAAAATCGCCTGGATATGGCGGCTTATTCATAGAATTCTCCAAGCATGCATCTTATTGTCTTGAAATGCCCCATTTTTTTTGTATAACAATATTTAAAGGATGGACGCCGAGATGAACCATGTAATTTTAAACCAACATCTTTGTTAGAAGTACATGGCAAATATTCGCTAAGATTTTATACAAAGGACTCTATAATAATTTTGAGCGACACGAGAACATTTCGTTATCCCTGAATAAGCCGGTTTTATAACGAGTTATAAAACACAATACAATATATACAATATATATATCATTAACAGTATAATTGAAAAAAACCCATTTGTTTCTACATAAATCAAGGCTCTATTGTCCATTTATGGTTCTTAAAGGTGCATTCGATTCTGTTTGTAGAAAAAGTCTTGTGTATAAAATTTGGATTAAAAATCTTCAAGGTAAAAAAAATCGAATTCACGAAAATATGTACAATGATGTTAAATCCTGTTTATCCTTTGATGGATGACATACACATTCTTTTGGGGTGCGTCAGGGATGCAAGTTATCACCTTTTCTTTTCTCATATTGTGTGAATAATATAAAATGGGTTTAAATGCAGTTGATCAGAGATGTATACAATTGCGTAAAATATTACTTTATATTCTACTTTTTGCAGATGACATCATCTTAATAGATAGAACATTGCTGGGAATGCAAAAACTAAATTAGTTGCTTAATGCAATAAATGAAAATTAAGTATTGTCGTTAGGAGGGATGGGCGTTTATCAATATTATGAAACGCATTTTCTTTGGGGAGGAAAATGATGAAATTTCCCTAAATTATATAAATTTAGTTCATCTATCATTATTAGGTTAGCTGGTATACAGCCCCAAAACACTTCCTCAACATGCCACAAAGGTTTTTAATACTTTGAAAAACAGAATTAGAAATTTTTTAATCTACCGTATGATGTACTCTTTGATATCTTTGATTTTGAGATCTCGCCAAGTCTTCTGTATTCATCTGGCATCCCGGGATTTAATCCTCCTCGACATATTATTAACGTTCATGATCGTGTTTGCAAAGACATCTTAAATCTTTATAGATCAGTTCCCAATATCACAGTCCGAGGAAATCTTGGTAGATAATACATACAAGTTAGCCAACATATGAAAATATTAACATTTTAGATAAGTCATGTTACTCAAACTGAAACTCACATTATACTCGAGACCTGGGAAATGTCTCGTGTTTTGTCCTCGAACTGACTTGCAATTTCTTTTTAACTTCCGTCCTTTGAATGAAATTGTCGGCACAAAAATACATTGTTGGAAGTCTCCATACAAAATTCCAGCTACCCCCACCCCCAGAGAAGTCACGTACGTGTAACTTCTATTGTCAGACAAGTGATTCCCAGATATGAACACCTGTGACGGGCCGTGTGTAAGGTCTGTTATCTTATCTCATCTGCATGGAAAACAAGGAAGCTATTCCAGGATCAGAAAGTTATATATGGGAACCAGTGTTTTGTCCATACGTTCACGAATACATATAGTTATAACGTGCGTTCGTATGTTTATCAGACATAAATGCACGCTTCAGGTGACCAATTGACTTGCCTTTGCATGTGTTTGTGACGGGTTCCACCGCCGGGGCAGGATACGCTCACCTTTTCGCGAACACCTGGTATCTTCACTATTTAATAGTGATTCATAACACACATGCTTATGATATAGTCGGAATCCTATCGACTTCTTTATGCAGAGGTTTCTATTGGATATGGAATGAGTTTTGTCGCTTTATTTATATCATTAATTATAATTATAAGTATATACCCAGATAACACTCACGAAAAAAACACATTTTGTCAAAAAGAAGATAATATTTAACGGGTGTAAATTGCTGCAGTACTGTCAGCAGGAGCGTCAAAGCGTACCGAAGCGCTCACCAACTCACCAATTCACTCAATAACTCACTCACCCACATATTTACTCACAAATATCCTCCACCAAATGACAATCACCAATCTCTCACATGCAGTAATTTGTGTAAAATATGGTTGTCGTATAAAACTGGTTACACTATTTGACGATCAACTCAATGAACCATCGACTCGTAGAAGGATCCTAAAGCAGTGTAGTGATTCTGTGTTAACAGATTATACCGACTCTCACCTGTAATCCCCGCGATCCCCCGAGTTCCCCTAAGTTCACCGGGCTGACCAGAGGGGACACACCGCCATGTCAACGTCTCGTGACCACTGAGGGAACACTTACTTCCTGATCGAGGATAATGTGAGCCAGACTATTTTAACAGTCCCTGATTTGATGTTTCATCACGGAAGCAGATACTCGACGCATTAGGTCCAACATGCAGTCTGACCTGTATGATTACGGGACTTAGATTGCAGCGTTGATAAGGTGTATAATAACGATTTGTGTGAGTCACAGTGGCTTCATGTGTACCTGGTGAGTTATGTGATTAAATCGACACGCAGTCAAGATAGTGTTTGGCAATGATCTATTCTCTTCATGCTCTACCTTCTTTGGAAGTAGACATGCGGAGCAGCTCAGTGGGTTTGATTTTCAAGATTGATACCAAGCGTATTTTTATGTCCCGACACTGTTTTTGCTGGATCATACACTCACTCAAACTCATCCACCTAGGTGGTTCCTCCAGGTCTGCATATAGCGCAATGTGGTGCTTCAACGTAATAAATGCATGGTGTTAACTTTAGGTATGTAAATAAAACGTGGTGTTGCTTACGGGTCTGTGAATAATACGTAGTGTTACTGCCAGGTATGTAAAGAACAAGTGGTGTCACTATCAGGTCTGTAATCAACAAGTGGTGTTACTTCCAGGTATGTTATCAACACGTGGTGTTACCTCCAGGTATGTAAATAACACGTAGTGTTACCTCCAGGTATGTAAATAACACGTGGTGTTACCTCCAGGTCTGTAAATAACACGTAGTGTTACCTCCAGGTATGTAAATAACGTGTGGAGTGACCTCCAGGTATGTAAACAACACGTGGTGTTACCTCCAGATATGTAAATAACACGTGGTGTTACCTCCAGGTATGTTAATAACACGTGGTGTTACCTCCAGGTATGTTAATAACTAGTGGTGTGACCTCCAGGTCTGTAAATAACACGTAGCGTTACTTCCAGGTCTGTAAATAACACGTGGTGATACATCCAGGTCTGTGAATAACACGTGGTGTTACCTCCAGGTATGTAAATAGCACGTGGTGTTACCTCCAGGTCTGTAAATAACACGTGATGTTACCTCCAGGTATGTAAATAACGTGTGGAGTGACCTCCAGGTATGTAAACAACACGTGGTGTTACCTCCAGATATGTAAATAACACGTAGATTTACCTCCGGGTATGTAAATAACACGAAGAGTTACCTCCTGATATGTAAATAACACGTAGAGTTACCTCCTGATATGTAAATAACACGTAGAGTTACCTCCAGGTATGTAAATAACACGTAGAGTTACCTCCGGGTATGTAAATAACACATGGTGTTACCTCCAGGTATGGAAACAACACGTAGTGTTACCTCCTGGTATGTAAATTACACGTAGTGTTACCTCCTTGTATTTAAACAACACGTAGAGTTACCTTCAGGTATGTAAATAACACATGGTGTTACCTCCAGGTATGTAAATAACACGTAGAGTTACCTTCAGGTATGTAAATAACACATGGTGTTACCTCCAGGTATGTAAATAACACGTAGAGTTACCTCCAGGTATGTTAATAACACATGGTGTTACCTCCAGGTATGTGAATAACACATGGCGTTACCTCCAGGTATGTTAATAACACGTGGTGTTACCTCCAGGTATGTTAATAACTAGTGGTGTGACCTCCAGGTCTGTAAATAACACGTAGCGTTACCTCCAGGTCTGTAAATAACACGTGGTGATACATCCAGGTCTGTGAATAACACGTGGTGTTACCTCCAGGTATGTAAATAGCACGTGGTGTAACCTCAAGGTATGTAAATAACACGTGGTGTTACCTCAAGGTATGTAAACAGCACGTGGTTTTACCTCCAGGTATGTAAATAACGGGTGTGGTGTGACCTCCATGTCTGTAAATAGCACGTTATGTAACCTCAAGGTCTGTAAACAACACGTGGTGTTACCCCCAAGGTATGTAAACAACACGTGGTTTTACCCCCAGGTATGTAAACAACACGTGGTGTGACCTCCAGGTATGCAAATAACAAGTAGTATTACCTCCAGGTATGCAAATAACACGTAGTGTTACCTCCAGGTCTGTAAATGACACGTAGTGGTACCTCCAGGTATGTAAATAACCCGTAGAGTTACCTCCTGGTATGTAAATAACACGTAGTGTTACCTCCAGGTATGTAAATAACACATAGTGTTACCTCCTGGTATGTAAATTACACGTAGAGTTACCTCCGGTATGTAAATAACACGTAGAGTCACCTCCGGTATGTAAATAACACGTAGAGTTACCTCCTGGTATGTAAATAACACGTAGTGTTACCTCCAGGTATGTAAATTACACGTAGAGTTACCTCGCGGTATGTAAACAACACGTAGTGTTACCTCCAGGTATGTTAACAACGCGTGGTGTTACTCCAGGTATGTAAATAACACGTGGTGTTACCTCCAGGCATATAAATAACGTGTGATGTGATCTCCAGGTCTGTAAATAGCACGTGGTGTAACCTCCAGGTCTGTAAACAACACCTCGTGTTATCTCCAGGTATGTAAATAACACGTAGAGTTACCTCCAGGTATGTAAATAACACGTAGTGTTACCTTCAGGCATGTAAATAACACATGATATTACCTCCTGGTCTGTAAAAAACATGTGGTGTTACCTCCTGGTATGCAAACAATACGTGGTGTTACCTCCAGGTCTGTAAACAACACGCGGTGTTACCTCCAGGTATGCAAATAACACGTCGTGTTATCTCCAGGTATGCAAATAACACGTAGTATTACCTCCAGGTATGCAAATAACACGTAGAGTTACCTCCAGGTATGCAAATAACACGTAGTGTTACCTCCAGGTAAACCAATAACACGTAGTGTTACCTCCAGGTATGTAAATAACATGTAGTGTTACCTCCAGGTATGCAAATAACACGTAGTGTTACCTCCAGGTATGTAAATAACACGTAGAGTTACCTCCGGTATGTAAATAACACGTGGTGTTACCTCCTGGTATGTAAACAACAAGTAGTGTATGTCCAGGTATGTAAACAACACGTAGTGTTACCTCCAGGTATGTAAATAACACGTAGTGTTACCTCCAGGTATGTAAAGTACACGTAGATTTACCTCCGGGTATGTAAATAACACGAAGAGTTACCTCCTGATATGTAAATAACACGTAGAGTTACCTCCAGGTATTTAAATAACACGTAGTGTTACCTCCTGGTATTTCAACAACACGTAGAGTTACCTTCAGGTATGTAAATAACACATGGTGTTACCTCCAGGTATGTAAATAACACGTAGAGTTACCTCCAGGTATGTAAATAACACATGGTGTTACCTCCAGGTATGTGAATAACACATGGTGTTACCTCCAGGTATGTAAATAACACATGGTGTTACCTCCTGGTATGTAAATAACACATGGTGTTACCTCCAGGTATGTGAATAACGTGAGGTGTTACCTCCAGGTCTGTAAATAACACGTAGAGTTACCTCCTGGTATGTAAATAACACGTAGAGTTACCTCCAGGTATGTGAATATCGTGTGGTGTTACCTCCAGGTCTGTAAATAACACGTAGAGTCACCTCCTGGTATGTAAATAACACATAGTGTTACCTCCAGGAGTAGATGTTGTGATGGTGATGTGGGGAGATGTTGTGATGGTGATGTAGGGAGATGTTGTAGTGGTGGTGGTAGGGGAGTAGATGTTGTGGTGTTGGTGTAGGGAGATGTTGTTGTGGTGGTGGTAGGGGAGAAGATGTTGTGGTGGTGGTGTAAGGAGATGTTGTAGTGGTGGTGGAGGGGAGAAGATGTTGTGGTGGTGGTGTAGGGAGATGTTGTAGTGGTGGTGGTAGGGGAGTAGATGTTGTGGTGTTGGTGTGGGGAAATGTTTTTGTGGTTGTGGAGGGGAGAAGATGTTGTGGTGTAGGGATATGTTGTAGTGGTGGTAGGGGAGTAGGTGTTGTAGTGGTGGTAGGGGAGTAGATGTTGTAGTGGTGGTGGGAGATGTTCTAGTGGTGGTGGTAGGGGAGTAGATGTTGTACTGGTGGTGTTTGGGGAGTAGATGTTGTGGTGGTGGTGTAGGGAGATGCTGTAGTGTTGGTGGTAGGGGAGTTGAGTTTGTAGTGGTGGTGGTGGTGGGAGATGTAGTTGGGGCATATATGTTGTAGTGGTGGTGGTAGGGGAGAAGATGTTGTAGTGGTGGTGGTGGGAGATGTTGTAGTGGTGGTGGTAGGGGAGAAGATGTTGTAGTGGTGGTGGTAGGGGAGAAGATGTTGTAGTGGTGGTGGTGGGAGATGTTGTAGTGGGGGGATATATGTTGTAGTGCTGGTGCTGGGTATATGATGTGGTAGTGATGGTGGGTCGGTTGATGATGTAGTAATGATTGGAGGGGCAATGGATGTAATATAGATAGTGCTAAGAAGAAAAGCAGATTAACAAGATTGTATCACCAAGTTATTTCAGATACTTTATTTAAAACAGTGGCAAACAAAGAAAGATGAGTTGATCTTCCTAGTTGTTGTCCTCGCTGCTTGGATACACTTCCTTGTCACTTCATAAAAACATCCCCATTATCTGTACGCACAAGTACCGTTTTGTGTGCAACAGCACGTTCCGTTTTGTGTGCAACACGGAAGATCGCCATGCACATTGTTGTGAATACAATATTGTTTGCTACTGGGTAAGCCCACATCGACATGGGAAAACCGCAGATTGAATCGAATGCATGAGAACATGATTTTGCTCCGATCTAAGCATAACAACATTTTTTTATTTCCTATTGAACAATCTTGATACTGCCTTCGTTAATAATGTTCTCATATGACAGACATTTAATGTGCATTGTACTGCATGACCAAAGAATTGCATACGTGAATGAAGCATTGTTCTCTGTGACAGAATAATTGTTCTAAGTGAATGAAGCATTGTACTTCAAGCTTGAAATATTGTACCAAGTGACAAACATTGTAGTCCATGCCTGAAGCATTCTTCTCCGTAACTGAACGTACGATCCTTCAATCTTTACAATCGCCGTACCCAACTCTGGTTCATCCGCCCCATCACAAGCCGTCCTTCTGGAACATAACATATCCGACATCCGCACAATCACCAGCCGTCCTTCTGGAACATAACATATCCGACATCCGCACAATCACCAGCCGTCCTTCTGGACCATAACATATCCGACATCCGCACAATCACCAGCCGTCCTTCTGGACCATAACATATCCGACATCCGCACAATCACCAGCCGTCCTTCTAGACCATAACATATCCGACATCCGCACAATCACCAGCCGTCCTTCTGGAACATAACATATCCGACATCCGCACAATCACCAGCCGTCCTTCTGGACCATAACATATCCGACATCCGCACAATCACCAGCCGTCCTTCTAGACCATAACATATCCGACATCCGCACAATCACCAGCCGTCCTTCTGGACCATGTCATATCCGACATTTGCACCATCATCAGCCGTTCTTCTGGACTGCAACATCACCAGTGATCTGACTAACAATCACATATCCTTCTTCGGGCCCATCCCTACCTTGCAACTACTATTTGATGTGTCTGGGACATGATTCACCTACAATCAATAATTTAAACCCTGAGGCTGATAACCACCAAAAATAATGAAATACAGCTCATCATCTCTGGTTATTCTTTATGGCTTCCCTCAGCTTTGACCAGAACCATCCTCGTTTTTCGTCTCTCTGTTTCCTGATGAACTGAAGCCCTATCAACATCCGCGGCGTTTCGTCAATGTCCTCGTATACTATCGGAATGATCTGCTTCTCTCTGGCACCTAGAAGGAGTTTTCATACATTTATAAACGCTAAGAAATGCCTTAAAATTACTGGAATTACATTGATTTCGCTTTATTGTTTACCTGGTGATAAAAACATCACTTGTCGCTGGACATGGGGGATGTCCCGTAGAAAGATGTTATGAAAATTAAAACGAAAACCTATGAATGACGGACTCAACATGAACATATCATCCACTTTTCCCTTGAACTGTTTACCATAAGACATGACTGAAAAAAATGCGTCCCTAATAACTTCCCACGCAGTTGTCTAAATCTACAACTTGTCGGACGTCGACCTTACATATACTTGATTGAAACCTACATCTACTTCTTGAATATCTATTCATGAAATACATAACTGAACTGGTTTAGATAGGATTCTCGATCTTTAAGTTACAAGTAAATTTGCACATGACAACAACCACAAGTATAAATGTTGCCTTTCTAACCAATGGTTAGTTACATATGGGGAGGGGTGGGTGGGTCATGGGGGAAGGGTGGGGTGGGGTGGGTCATGGGGTCCGGCCCCTCACAGCAGGGTAAATAAAAGGCTTCCCTGATGTTATCTGCGCAATCCTATGACCCCAGAATAATACCTCTCCACGATACTCATGAGATGGCTTGTTCAGTCAAAAACCACATTATTGACTGTGCCGAAATGTGATAAACGTTATACAGGAAACAACTTATTAATCTTTCAAGTAAATCTGAAAATGAAATGTTTCTGGCCTGTTTCCAACATAAAATATGAATCAGGAGAGACTGGTTTCAATGGATATATTGTGATGCGACTTTGAAACAAAACAGCATTTATTAACATTATTTCTTTTCTCAAATCAGAATACAATTCACATATACAGTTCTTCTATTCAATATGGACCATTCATATGATGAGTCGAAAGTACAGTGTGACATATTGGGTCGTTATTTGGTGTTAATTAATATCATTTATCCCCAAACCGGTTCTCAGGGGCGTCAATACGTTTTTGCAGCTAGAAACACGAACCAATTCGCATCGGGACAGTAAGTTTGCTTGTCGTAAGAGGCGACAGACGGGATCGGGTGGTCAGGCTAGCTGACTGGGTTGATGCATGTCATCTTATCCCAATTGCTCATGATGTCAATCACGGGATTGTCTGGTTCAGACTCGATTATTTACAGACCGCCGTCATATAGCTGGAATATTGCTGAATTCGGCGTTAAACAACAAACCAACCAATAAGATGTCAGAGATAGCCCACCTGGATCTAACGCTCTGGAAAAGTTGGTGACAAACTGACATGCTTCTGAATCCACATAGTTTCGCGTCAGGATGATGACGACTTTGCGGCGACACCTAGCGGAAATAAACATCAGGTCAATAGCTGTTAATCACTCCGGGCTAATAAGCTTCATAAATATGACAACCGCGAATAGTAAAATGAGAAAACGATTACAGATCTACTAGTAACCATAAGTATCTCTCCCTGTGAAACCTAGCTCAATGTGTTAAAATATATATTGTCTTTGATACATGGATCGTTGAAGTCCATACTGTGTTTTGAAAATATTAACAGGCTGCACGTGGCTTAAAAAAATCCATACAAAGAGTATGTGTACTGTTGTTATGTATATTCGCTTAATATGCTTTGACCTGTCATAGTTTGAAGTGTGTATTTAGGCTGCATGCGAACACTGGTTGGTTTGTAACTTAGATGATAACACTATAATTAACAGCTAATGTCATGGTGTTACAGGTGCACTAGCGGCTGCTACATGGTTACGCCATCCGAGGTAGAGGAGCCGTGCTGTACCGATGTCGTTCTAATCAGGGACAAGATTGATGATACATCAACCTCAGTCCCCTGACCACAGTGGTCTAGTGGAGAGAGCATCTGTCCGGGGAGCTGGAAGTCTGAGGTTGGCGGTGGCGTCATACCAAAACACGTTAAAAGCCTGGCGCTTGGCATTAAGGGGGATGAACGAAAAGACTGGTCAGCTCGGAGTCCACGGCATGATATCTTAGTGGGGTAGTACTATAAAACCAGTCCGGACTCAGCCACACACACACAGCCATAAACACTTCTAAAGACCGCCTCCGTGGTCTTGTGGTAGAGCGTCCGCCCGGAGAGCGGAAGGTCCAGGGTTCGATCCCGGGCCGCGTCATACAAAAAGACGTTTAAAGATTGTACTTGTTGTTACCCTGTCTGGCGCTCGGCATTAAGGGGCTAAAACAAGGACTGGTCGGCTCGGAGGCAGTATACTGTGTCTGAGTGGGTTATTCATGTTAAACTGCGGCATGGTATCTCAGTGAGCTAGCACTATAAATCGGCATCAGTCCGGACTAGTACAAGCAGCCACACACACATACACGTGCATGCACGTCGCTATATAAGTGCAATAATCTTGGACGCGACGTTAAACCCAATTTCACCTCACCTCACCTCACCTCTAAAGGGCAGTCTACCAACCTACCTTCCACCCTACTGCAAGATCACCTCACCTATCCTCCAGAACGTCAGCGATGTCCTCGTACTTGCACCCCCAGGCACCAAATGTCTCCCCCCACCCTACTGCAAGATCACCTCACCTATCCTTCAGTACGTAAGCGATGTCCTCGTACGTGCACCCAGAGGCACCAACTGTGTCCATACCTTCCACCCTACTGCAAGATCACCTCACCTATCCTCCAGAACGTCAGCGATGTCCTCGTACTTGCACCCCCAGGCACCAAATTTCTCCCCCCACCCTACTGCAAGATCACCTCACCTATCCTCCAGAACGTCAGCGATGTCCTCGTACTTGCACCCCCAGGCACCAAATGTCTCCCCCCACCCTACTGCAAGATCACCTCACCTGTCCTTCAGTACGTAAGCGATGTCCTCGTACTTGCACCCACAGGCACCAACTGTGTCCATACCTTCCACCCTACTGCAAGATCACCTCACCTATCCTCCAGAACGTCAACGATGTCCTCGTACTTGCACCCCCAGGCACCAAATTTCTCCCCCCACCCTACTGCAAGATCACCTCACCTATCCTCCAAAACGTCGGCGATGTCCTCGTACTTGCACCCCCCAGGCATCAACTGCCGCTCCGGGAGGAAGAGACGGAGGTTGTGAGGGGAGGACTCAAGGGTGTTCAGCATTTCCTTCGCCAAAAGGATGTCCTTCTCGGCGCAGTTGATGTAAGCGTCGTACATGGCACGTGTTGTCCCGTCTAAAGACATATCACTATTACTCCATATGAAGCTCATTTCCCATGAATTGGCTACCAATAATTTGATCGTAACCATTAACACTTGACGACTTGCTTGCCAGTATAGATACTCATGTCCAATTCAGAGAGGCAACAATGGAAGTATGTTTGGTTTGTTTTTTTCTCTGTGCTGGCTTCAATGCCGATTATGTCATTCTATTTTGTTCAAATTAATGTGGAAGTGCCTCATGTTGGATGAATGATCAAAGTGATGCTGGTTGAAGACTTTTTAGAGGTGAGCAAATGTTTGGTGCAGACAACCCAACGATATTAATAATTGGAGTTATCGGACTATCGGATTCTGGCAGCCGAGACTCTGCACATCGTCTCTTCCAAGATAGAATATTCTCCTAGTAACTAACACATGTCAGTCAACCCTTAATCGTTAAGCCTGAACATATTTTATTCAGTATTAATTGGGTACAACACAATATATGACAACAGAAACACAATGATATCTGAAAAATAAACATTTCTAATGATACGGATCTTGCCGTTCTTGTCATAAACCATTACATTTGTGATTATATTCTACAAACGATCATTCTGCAGCATAAAATATCATGAACGTATGTTGTCTTTGGCTTATCATGTACAATTCCCACTGAACGAGTGTAGACTTGGCTATACTTGGTACGATCAGTTATCACTAAATAATATCTGATATATGGAAACATAGATATATATTCTCAAATACCTCTTTGACATAAATCTGAAAATGTTCAGAGATGCACAGGCTAAGGTTAAATGATGTACACATGGCTTAATGATTGAACAGAGAAGCCGCCTAACTGTACCAAGAGCTAAGATCGTGTAAACATTGGGACTTAGTCGGAATAGTACATTTGACCCTGCTGTAAGCAGAGATTCCTTATGACTATGGAAAGGGTTTTGTCGCTTTAAGTACATGTAATAGAAGATGAGGAAGAGAATGTATGGATGTCAACGTCTTTATTATGGGTGCTCCTCATGATAAAGAAGTTGACATCCATTATTTTTCCTTATGTGTTTCACTTCTAAATGCCATTCCAAGACTTAATAGAAGATGAGTTTAATGCATAAATGAACTCTACTCCTTTCGTAGCACAAATCTATACTTATACTGTTTATAAGGAGAAATATATTGTTATACTATGTATAAGTCGAAATCGATAAGTATATGTAGATATGTATATGAGATATAGATATAAGTGTGTATGTGTGAATGTGTGTGAATGTATTTGTGTGTGTGTGTGTGTGTGCGCGCGCGCGCGTGCGTGTGTGTGTGTGCTATTACGAAATGTTATATCAAATTGTATAATACAACCATTCAAAAATAGATTATGTGCCACGGACCTGTGGCATTCAGTGCGGAAACATGCTACACTGCCGCTAATTGTCCATCAAGTACAGTTGAGTGACTTTCGTGTATTCCTATGCTTTGCACTACCTTCACAGAATCAAGTACAAGCCTACAAACACCACGCCTCGATGGTATCACTGAAACATCACCCAGATATTTGTAGTCCTTAAAACATGATAACAATAAATCTCAAATAATAAGATACCACCACTCGCTGCAGTGACAACGACATCATCAGGTATCCACGGGCATGGTTTACGACAGAGTTGGCAACATCCGAGAGGTTCACCAAATAATTGGGATCTATCCCAGTTCTTTGACAATGGCTTCTAGGAGAGTGCTCACAATATGTCAAAGTCATGTTTTCACTTATTAACCAAAACCATTAAGGTCGAACATATTTGTCTAATCAGCAAAATTGTTCACAACAGTATTCCGATTATGACACATGTTCATTAAACCCAAAACACAACGCATCTCGCTTCATCAGATATGTACGGCAGTTCAACATTCCAACAGGCCTACTCACCATCGTCAGTGCTGAGAATCTTCCGATTTGATGGTCTAGAACCCGATTTCGTGACCGTAGATGATTTTTCCTCGCTCTGTGTATTTATTGCGATTGGTCTTGACATAGGATTCGACTCTGAAGAACCTGACGCACACATTTCTTGATTCCGTACGTCTCCTTGCTCCACAGCTTGGGTTTGAACAGCTGCTCCAGATTGGCCAGGAGATAATTCTTTAAAGAATGCTTGAATCGTACTCCTTTTTTTTTCGTTCCTAATTTGTTCCGCTTAAAATGATAAAAAAGGGAGACCAATAATTTGAATGAACACCACGATTAGAAATAAAGGATAGTATAGATATAACACGAGAATGGAAGATATACATTTCTTTCAGTTAATTGTAAAGTTAATCAGAGGGTAAATTTTAGGACAAAAAACGAACGTGTATTAGAAAATAGCGCTCTTAAGGATTAACGGAATAACCAAAATGGACATCCAAGAAGGATTTCGCTCATTTCGCTTCGAGAAAGAATGCACAGGTTCTGAAAGATTAAAAAGTACAAAACTACCGGAGACAACGTTTCAGATATATCTCACTTGGTAGATATTTACCCTTCGATGAAATACACGAACCCCTAATGAGAGGATCCTGGCATAGCTACTATGCACTGTCTAGTTGGATAGATTTAATGAAAAAACATGTTTTGGGGCTGTTATGAAGTTAGTTTACTCTCTGTACCTACCTTCTGCCCTGTTTCTAGGCTTACGATGCTGCCATGCCAACACATCTGTACCTGCGAAGCAAACATGATCAAGTTTCAGCATCTTATCAGGACAGATGCCAAGATGAAGAGGAAGAACTCGTAGTCAATATCAAACTAATTGTATTAAAAGAACGATTTCATTATTTAGTACCGTTTACATCCCGTATACATAACATATATGACATATTGAATACATGAAGCTTCAAGTCTCAACTTACAGAAGAGGTTACGGCATCTGCTCTGAACGTCGGTCCTTCCCAGCTGCCCCAGTTTCTCCCACAATGTCGACAATAACGCCTCCTTCCCCGCCAGCGACGCCAGCAGATGGGCCATGGGGTCTTTTTTCTCCTCCAACTCGGAGATGAACTGGAAGGTTTTCCCGTATATCTCTGCCAGTCCTCGGTAGTCCATTACGTGACCTGAGACAAGCGTCTCTGATGTATTATTTAATAAAAGAGACAGTTCCTTCTTTGTTGGTTTGGACAGCACCAAGATGGACACGTTCTTTATCTCAGGTGGCGCTTCCATAGCTTCATAGCAGCTCACTAATGTAGTCTTCTTGGGGAAACACTCATGTAGACCGTATCATTGGAACATCAGCAGAAGATTGATGGGTGTTCCCATATGATCTTTGGCATATGTTGTCCTAATCTGAGATACTAATGACATCCTATTGTGAAGCTCCTGATGAAGATACAGGTGTCCAGTCAAAGTGTAACAATGTGCTCTTCTGTTGGGATAGATTCCTCTTCATTAGCTGCTGGCGACACACAGCCTGCGAACCAGAGAGCATGCATTAACACGTTCATTGCTACCTGTATGAATATGATTCACTGCCCATATGGTAGCGTATGTGTGTTGGTATCTGTGTGTTTACTGATGACCGTACGTTTTTGTCATTACATTCTCAATAGAACTACACACCATTCTTATAATATAGGGAAAAGGTCGAATAGTATGGTTCAGTACCAACCGGAACAAGCAGCAAAAATTAGTACCAGGTTCTGTCATAAGTGTCGGCGTACTTGTAGAGTAAAGTCACGATGTAATTATGGCTCGGGTGGTCAGTCTCGGTTATATGGTTGTCATCTTACTCCAACGGCTTGGGTCGTTGATCACAGTATCAATGACGGGACTGTCTTGTAACAAACTTGATTATTTACGGTGCGCCGTCATATGGCTGGAATATTGAGTGCGGTCTTAAACAACAAACAAACAAACACAATATAATTAAGGAAAGCGTTTTCCCGAAACGTGATAACGACATACAGCTCATCTTGTAAATATGAAACGTCAACGCCAATGAATAGTCTTGATTATCCGACGAAACAGGGGCACGGATCGCCCTGTCGTCTAAGTCGCCGCAATTCGCAGTGCAGAGTTGCGTCCCTTGCGCACGCAAGAAACCTATGATTGTGGGTTCGAATCCCGGTTCGCCCCCATTATGTTTCTAGGTTTGTCAGCACCATACCCGTGCGCGTGGGTTTCAAGTTAATCAGTGAGTGATGCAGGTCTTAGACGTTTACCACTTTGGGTTTTCCTCCCACATCAAGCTCACACGCCGTGATATAACTGGAATACTGTTGAAAGCGGCGTTAAACACAACTCTTATACTCACTATCCGACGAAACATTCCATTGGGCGTATAAGGCAAAACAACGGGGAAAATTATATAAGAGGATCACTGATAATCAGTGATGACACCAGGAGATCGCGAAAAGGATAAGGATATCCTGTCCTAAGTTGTTCCTCTTTGGTGCTGCACTTTGTGAGATTGACTTTGTACATCTTACAACGAAAAGGACGATTATGTCAAATTTCTCCTTTCACATTAATGAACAACCAAACAACCACAGCTACAAAAGCTCTCAGTTCTTCTAAACGAGCTCAAAGAGCTACTACGAAACATCTTGATGCAAATAAAAAAATCTGTCATGATTGGACCAACCTATGCTGATTGGGAGTTCTAGACGTAGTATTTTATTTCCTGCCCTTGAGGAAAGGTAAGAGGAACATCAATTGCAATGTCAACACTGTAGGTTTAAGATCGAACAGAAGGCCATTTATATTAGATAACCGTACAGTTTACCTCAACAACATGAACATTTCCAACAGAGCCAATCACTGTATGGTATGACAACCAAAGTTGATATGACCTGACACTGGGATAAGTGGTTCAACAAACTTGGTCCAGTTGAAAGATAACAAATCAGTATTTCAACATAGAACTTGCAGACAAATATCTTAACTATAATCTTACATCGTTAATATATTTTGGAAATCTTCATAATTTCAAATTCACAATTATTTTTACTAATAAAAAATACCATACCACTGAATATGTTCATGAACTGAAAACGTATGAGTCTAACAATGATGAGCTGTGTTGATGGTGTTGGCCGCTTATTAGTCTTGAAACGTAATCCCCGCTGAGGGCAACACACTTCTATCTACAGTGCTGGAGTGCCTGGATCCCTATGGTGTAGAAGATGTACTCCCGGTGGTGTAAAAAGTCGTACACAACAGACATGACCTTCAACTTTATCAACGCTGTCCATCAAGGTCACACCATTCCTTACTAGGCCTTTACGCTACCCCTCAAAGGTATATGAAAGTTGTAAATCAGAATATCAGAAAAAAATATTAAAAATTAAAATATATTAAAAATATAACTTATGATTAAAAATGAAAAACACCCAGATTTACTCTTTACTCTGCCGCATTCTCCAAGAAATGGCAGTAGGGTTACTCAAGAAAGCAATCAAAGTCGCTACCACTCATGACCATTCAATCATATGAATGCCACCAAATATAACTTCTGACAATTTGAGAAACATACATGGAGCTACATTTATATACAGTATCAGTAATAAAACATCCACTATGTTTCAAATTTTACATATTTTCTAGCTGGCGCTCTCATATTGACAATTGATACGTTCTGGGGTAAAATAGGCATACCACAGGTAGCAGTGTTGTCGGTAAAGAGAGAGAATTAAACGCCCTTAAAGTGGGAGAAACAATTTCTATATAAGGCACGCCATTGAACACCACACATGTAATGACCTGGAACTCATTTGCGAAAAGGAATGCAGTATAAGTACCTTGGGAATGGTGTGCATATCGAACGTATGAGTTCTGTAGTACAGTGTATGGGAATAACAGCTATTTTGCAGGAACATGCAGATATATACTTGTGTAAATGTATATATTACATAATTGCTAAAAACTCCAGGTATTTATCAAATACTAGTTGGGAGACGTTACATATATAGAATCTCACCCGAGTGACTATTGATATCAGATATATCAACACGAGTTGATACAAGTGGAAAAACTCCGAGGCGAGGCCTGCTCACGAGGGTGAGATTATATTTATCATCCAACATCATTCGTCCAACTTTTTCAGTTTGTAAACAGTAATACGCAGTGTCTTAAGTGTAATAGGTACTGCTAAAAGCTTCAGTAGCAGAGTCATTAGTGATGTCATGTGATTGTGACGTCATGGTGACGTCATGCGAAAAGGAATGCAGTATAAGTACCTTGGTCACGCCTGCGACCAATGAAACGCTTGCTGTAGGAGCTGACATAAAGCGTCACTGGATAGCTGTCAATAATTATTATCAATAAGGAAGAGAAATACATTATCCTGAATGGTTTAGGGCGACAGTAATGTACAGAAAACTGACCACTGTCATCTAGTGGTACACTGTCACAGAGCACTGACCACCAATATTCAGTCGAGTAGTTTCCATCAGTTGCAGAGAGAACTGACCACTACCATCTGGTGACAAACACTCAGTCTGACTGAGGACTTAGAGGGAGGTATGTTTTTTTATATAAGCATATTATTTTCACATTAAATGAACATGAATGGGTATACGTCACAACTACAGCTCTAACATACATACAGAAGTTATACGCTGGATTGATTTTATACAAAGGGGAGAAGGCTTATATATTCTTGCATAGAAGGCTGAGTTTATACACCGAAGAGAAGGCAAATATATCCGTGCGTATAAATCTGAAATTATACAACGGTGGAGAAGGCTTATATATCCTTGGTAGAAGGCTGAGTTTATACTCCGAAGAGAAGGCAAATATATCCTTGCGTAGAAAACTAAAATTATACAACGGTAGGAAAGTCTTATATATCCTTGTGTAGAAGGCTGAGTTTATACATTGTGGTGAAGGCTTGTTGTCAAAGGACAGGGTGGGAATGGTGTGCATATCGAACGTATGAGTTCTGTAGTACAGTGTATGGGAATAACAGCTATTTTGCAGGAACATGCAGATATATACTTGTGTAAATGTATATATTACATAATTGCTAAAAACTCCAGGTATTTATCAAATACTAGTTGGGAGACGTTACATATATAGAATCTCACCCGAGTGACTATTGATATCAGATATATCAACACGAGTTGATACAAGTGGAAAAACTCCGAGGCGAGGCCTGCTCACGAGGGTGAGATTATATTTATCATCCAACATCATTCGTCCAACGTTTTCAGTTTGTAAACAGTTATACGCAGTGTCTTAAGTGTAAAAGGTACTGCTAAAAGCTTCAGTAGCAGAATCATTAGTAATGTCATGTGATTGTGACGTCATGGTAACCAGCAGTCCGAAACATAATTCTTTTCTTCAAGCATTTAATGGAACAATTTTTGTTTTCGATGAAAGTGCCGAATTCCACCTCAAGTCCTAGTTGAGGGATACGGTTGATACTCTTTACATCTGTACACCAAAACGCGTTTTCAAGTATTGGTGCGGTTCTTTACGAATGCCCTAAAGTTAAATGATAAAATGAATTGGATTTCAAAAGTAAAACTCATTCTCTTTTCTGCGTGATTTTGTGTTTAATACTGGTATTTCAGCTTTCATCTTTGTATTTCGTGTGAAGGCAAAATACGACAAGACTGGCACGATGCTCCTTCGGGCACCAAAACCAATAGTTATATCCTTTATAAACTCTCCTTGTACCTGGAATTGTACCTTAAAGTCATAACCGTTTTAAAATTTAGAAAATCCCTGGTTCGGTTGAAATGCAGTTCGCTTACTAAAATTAGAAACAGGAAGAAAGTCATTGTCGGCAACTGCGAGTGTGTGAATTACGTAACGCCGATGACGATGAGTTTCACTTTGGTATGATTTGCAATCATGCTTATAATGTGATCAGGCCATACTATGTTTGTGAAAAGTTTATAATTATCCATCTCCTTATGATAAGTCAACAAGTATTTGTCACAAAGTGACGAAATATCCCCCGCCTGTATATATACCATAGTACCAAATATGAAGACAATCCAGCGATTAGTTCTTGAGATATTGCGGCAACAGCGTTTTCCAACTCCAAAAGCAGATTTGCCTGCTGTGACCTTGAAAATAGGGTCAAGGTCACCAAAACCGACTGGTGTCTGCGGTGTCTGTATATACACCATAGTATCAAATATGAAGACAATCCAGCGATTAGTTCTTGAGATATCGCGGCAACAGCGGTTTCCAACTCCAAAAGCAGATTTGCCCGCTGTGACCTTGAAAATGGGGTCAAGGTCACCAAAACCGACTGGTGTCTGCGGAGTCTGTATATACACCATAGTTCCAAATATGAAAACAATCCAGTGTTTAGTTCTTGAGATATCGCGGCAACACCGTTTTCCAACTCCAAAAGCAGATTTGCCTGCTGTGACCTTGAAAATGGGGTCAAGGTCACCAAAACCGACTGGTGTCTGCGGAGTCTGTATATACACCATAGTTCCAAATATGAAGACAATCCAGCGATTAGTTCTTGAGATATCGCGGCAACAAACAGGTGGGACGTACGGACGGACGTACGGAAGTACGGACGTACGAACGGTCTTGAATACTATATCCCCCGCTCCGCGCTTTCGCGCGGCGGGGGACAATAAACATAAGAAGCTGATGTCCTCCTCTGATCCATGTACAATTAGAAATCTCACAATTCGCGTACATCATGCCATGTTTTTGAAAAATAAAGGAAATTGGATTAACATAACATGTACTGACCTCTCTCCAATATGATGTTTTCAACCTCTATGCGTAATGAGCCGATTGCCTCCACACATTTCTTGAATAAACTTCTTCTTCAACAAACCGAGAGTGAACAAATGAATGTATTTAAACGCAACAAAAATTATAAGAATTCACTTTTACTTTCTGTTCGTTCACTGGACGACGTTCATACAGTGTTTGGCCCATGTAGGTACATACTCCAATGAACGAACAGAAAGTGGAAGTGAATTCTTATATTTTTTTATCACTATTTTATACCTCCAGGGATGTGGCGCCAGATCCTTCCGTGATACATTGGCAACCAAACAACAACCAGCTCCACCGCGGCATAAAATAATTCCCCCCAAAAGAAAGGCGACTTGAGCGTTACCATGGTTACAGGAACATCTGTTGTAGTTCGTTTACAAGAACTGTATTCAGATAATATCACCATTTGGTGGGAAAGGTCTGTTAAGAACCGCCTCAGTAAGTCAGTCACAATGGCAGCGCGTCAGAGTACATTTACATCAAGTGCAAGACGTCAAAATGGCCGACACAATAAACCTTACGGGGGAGAATTCCGAAGTTGTTAATGTATCTGTGGCGGTTAATGTGTCATTAATGATCAGTAGGCCGACCATTGAAAGGTGATTATTGAGATGTGTCAAATAGATAGTAAGTTAATACGTAGACTCCTTACACTGCAACTGTGTACCTGTACAGTGTAGAACTGATTACCCGAACATACCTGTACAGTGTAGAACTGATTACCTGAACATACCGGTACAGTGTAGAACTGATTACCCGAACATACCTGCACAGTGTAGAATTGATTATCCGAAAATACCTGTGTAAGATTGATTACCTGTACAGTGTAGAATTGATACCTGAACATACCTTCACAGTGTAGAATTGACTGCCTGAACATACCTGTGCATTGTAGAATTGATTACCTGAACATGCCTTTACAGTGTAGAATTGATTATCCGAACTTACATGTACAGTGTAGAATTGACTTTCTGAACATACCTGCACAGTGTAGAATTGACTGCCTGAACATACTTGTGCAGTGTAGAATTAACTACCTGAACTAACCTGTACAGTGTAGAACTGATTATCCGAACGTACCTGTAGAGTGAAGAATTGACTACCTGATCATACCTGCACAGTGTAGAATTGACTACCTGAACATACCTGTGCAGTGTAGAATTGACTACCTGAAATTACCTGTACAGCGTAGAACTGATTATACGAACGTTCCTGTGAGTGTAGAATTGATCACCTGAACATGCCTGCACAGTGTAGAATTGATTATCTGAACATCCCTGTACAGTGTAGAATTGATTATCTGAACATGCCTGCACAGTGTAGAATTGATTATCTAAACATTCCTGTAGAGTGTAGAATTGATTACCTGAACATACCTGTGCAGTGTAGAACTGATTATCTGAACATACCTGTACAGTGTAGAACTGATTATACGAACGTACCTGTAGAGTGTAGAATTGACTATCTGAACATACCTGCACAGTGTAGAATTGACTACCTGAACATACCTGTACAGTGTAGAACTGATTATACGAACGTTCCTGTAGAGTGTAGAATTGATTACCTGAACATGCCTGCACAGTGTAGAATTGATTATCTGAACATCCCTGTACAGTGTAGAATTGATTACCTGAACATGCCTGCACAGTGTAGAATTGATTATCTGAACATCCCTGTACAGTGTAGAACTGATTACCTGAACATACCTGTACAGTGTAGAACTGATTACCTGAACATACCTGTACAGTGTAGAACTGATTACCTGAACATACCTTTACAGTGTAGAATTAATAATTTGGACATACCTGGACAGTATAGAATTGATTACCTGAACATACCTGTACAGTGTAGAACTGACTACTTGAACATACTTGTACAGTGTAGAATTGATTACCTGATGATACCTGTGTAGTGTAGAATTGATTACCCGAACATACCTGTACAGTGTAGAAATAATTACCTTAACATACCTGTACAGTGTCGAATTGATTACCTGAACATACCTGTACAGTGTAGAATTGATTACCTGAACATATCTGTACAGTGTAGAATTAATTACCTGAACATACCTATACAGTGTAGAACTGATTACCTGAACATACTTGTACAGTGTAGAATTGACTACTTGATGATACCTGTGTAGTGTAGAATTGATTACCTGAACATACCTGTGTAGTGTAGAATTAATTACGTGAACATACCTGTACAGTGTCGAATTGATTACCTGAACATAACTGTACAGTGTATAATTAATTACCTGAACATACCTGTACAGTGTAGAATTGATTACCTGAACGTACCTGTACAGTGTAGAATTGATTACCTGAACGTACCTGTACAGTGTCGAATTGATTACCTGAACATACCTGTACAGTGTCGAATTGATTACCTAAACATACCTGTACAGTGAAGAATTAATTACGTGAACATACCTGTACAGTGTAGGATCAATCAGCTTTATACCCATGTACAGTGTACAAGTTATGTAGAAAATGATAGTGGGTTAAGTTGGCCATGAGAGGTGACTTCCAACCATGCGTATCAAACTGTCACTTGAGTGACAGCCTAGACAGTGCGTCACAATGTGGGTATGTGTTAGGGACTGGTCATTTAATATGAAGGAGGTGGGGGAATTGTTCAATAGACCAGTACTGAATCATATTTTGCTGGGCCCAAGCATTTTATGTAACAAAGATTCCCCCACCCCCTCCCACAGATACACACACACACGTTATCATAAATGAATTACCAGTCCCTACTAATTTAGTAAATATAAAAAATAAATAGAACAGCGTCATTTTTTCAATACAATAAAACAGTGCATATGCCCAGTAACTCGTAGGTTGGTTAATCCACTGTCGACAATATTCAGAAATATTTATGACATATCGTCCAGTCAATAATCCTGCTGAAAAAAACATGTTCGAACTGACTTTACCATAAATGTTACGATTCGTCAAGCATGACCCATATCATACTTCTCCAGACGAGACATGGCCGACATTTTGTAATGTGCTCACTCACCTGGAAATCCTATCGCTTCTGGCTATCAGTTAAACGTATGAACATCCCTCTCTTGTATAGAAATTTTGACACAGTTTGACGACACACAGTAGTCCGCCAGCACACACCTTCATGCAGTAACTACCATGACAGAACGACACATTCACTGTAGACGTACACGGGGCTCTTCAACCAATCACATCGTCAACAACACTTCCGGGTATGCAAGTTAATCGCCATTATCGTCGATGGGGCGACAGCTGTAGATAAGGCATCACGAGTTAGCCCCCTTCAAGATAGCCCCGCGGTAGTTCTATTTATATCACACTCGAGTGTGGACATTGCGTGCGTGAGTGTTGTTGTTTGGGGGTGGTGTTGGTAGCAGTGGTTTGTATGCTTGCGGTGTAGGTTTTTTGGTTTGGATTTTGGCCGTGTTTATGTCTTTATGTTTGTTGGCCTGTTGGGTGAGTGATAGTCTGTGGGGGCATTTGTTGGAGAGTGGTGAGTGTTTCATGGATTTGCAATGGATGCACCAGGGTGTGCATATGCCTGGGCAGTCCGTTTGGGCACAGTTTTTGCATTTGTTTTTTTTTAAAGTACATCCGTTAGCGGTGTGATTATATTGTAGGCAATTAGAACATTGCTTTACTTGCTTGATGTATGGTTTGACCTCTAAGTTATGGTTCGCGCCGAAAGTGATATGTTTGGGGGCTTCAGGGTGTTTAGTTGTTGTTTTTTAAGTTTATTATTACGATAGGTGTGGGGGTGGTTTTCCCGTTTCTGTTTGATTTAATCCTGCGGAGGCTAGTTATTTGTGGTTGGGTTTGGATAGTGTTAGCTTCTTGGGCGTATATGTCGAGGTCCTCGTCGGTTTCCCTTGGGTGCACTCGAATAACCCCCCTAGTGTATATTTGCCAGTTAGGTTTAGAGCTATTTACGGTGAATTGGAATATTTGTTTAAACAGTTTACCCAGACTCCGTATATGACCAAAATCAGCAAGACGCATACATCGCAAACGAAACAAACACCCCACACATCCCACAAACTCACACTCTCACCCTCCCCGCCTCTCACCCCACAATTACCACATCTACACCAGCAAGCAAAACCCAACGCACAACGACCACCACACAACCAGCACCAACACAAGCCATCACAGCCACAAGGGCAACAACATCCGAAAACCTACAGGCACCCCCCGAACACCCAGTCAACAGGGAAACTACAGAAACCACTCAGACTCTCACACCCAAACCCAGCACGCAACCCACCACCGAAGAGAGTGACCAAACTAAAGATAACTTAACCGAAGAGGACGAGTACACATCCTCAGAGGAAATAAACGATCTAACCATGCCAGCCCCCCAAACCAAAAGCTATAGAAAAAAACTCACCCAAAACGTAGCAATCAAAAAACTAAACAACTTAGTCCTCCTACTAGCTTACATGTTAAAGCAGTCTAATCCAGAAGCCAGCTCCAAAGCCTTCTTTGGTGAAGCACATAAACTAAAATGACCTAATACTATTAAACAATAACCAACCAACTAGATACGACAAAATCCACCACACCATTTCGGCTATCGACTTAACAATATGTACGCCAGACTTAGCACAAAGTCTGATGAGGGACGTCCACCCAGTACCTCTAGGCAGCGACCACTTCCCCATAACTATAACCCTAGGAAATCTAAAAACACCAAATCAAACCCCTAAACAGGAACCTAAATTTCAGTACAAAAACGCCAACTGGGACAAATTCCAAGAATTATGCAACCAAGCTAATCTAAACGATTTAGAAACAAAAGACCCCGAAACATTCTGTAAAAACCTAACTTACTTCATAATCAACGCAGCCAAATCCGCAATCCCCTTCAAATCATCCAACCTAGGAAAACCCACTGTCCCTTGGTGGAATGAGGAAATAGAGCTAACTAGACTAAAACGCAAATCAGCTTTCAACAGAGCTAAACGAGACCCCTCTCATCTCAAAACAGCCCATGAACTTAACCACCAAGTCCAAAACCTAGTTAAAACTGCTAAAACCAAAAACTGGAAAAAATTCTGTGAGGAGCTAAACCACCACACTGACGCTAGGAAGGTGTGGCGCAAAATTCACGCCATCAGAGGCATCAAACGGCACCAAAAAAAGCCCCAATATAAACAACTCAACTAACCCCACCCAAAAGGCCAACAACCTAGCCAAACACTTCTCTAAAGTTAGTAGCAACAGTAACTTCAGTAAGAAATTCAAAGATAAACTAAAAAAAGAAACCAAATTCTCCAAAGAAAACAGACAAGACAACCTAGAAATAAACCAACCTTACACCATAGAAGAACTAAATCACGTACTAAACAATAGAAAAAAGGAACAGCCCCTGGCCTAGACCTCACCTCTTACCAAATAATCAAACACTTACCTAACAAACTACTCCAAACTTTACTTAAACTATACAACCTAGTCTACCTAAACGGACAGGTCCCATCCTCATGGAAGGAAGCTCTAGTAATCCCAATACCTAAACCAAATAAACCAGCAGATCAGGCTAACTCCTATAGGCCCATCTCCCTAACCTCAAATCTCTGCAAAATAATGGAACTTATGACTAAAAATAGGCTACAGCACTACCTAGACCAAAACAACATCATAAACCCCGACCAAAGCGGCTTCACTCCTGGCCGATCAACTCTCGATAACCTCGCCCGACTAGAACAGGGTATAAAAACAGGACAACTAAACAAGCAATACACCATAGGCATATTCCTCAACTTCTCTAAAGCTTTCGACATGGTATGGCATCACGGGCTAATACAAAAACTAAAACAAATAGGACTAAAAGGCCAAAAAATAAACTTCATCCAAGATTTCCTAAACAATCGCAAAATAACCGTGGGTATAGACCATACGCTATCGGACCAGTGTCCCCTAGAAAATGGCACTCCCCAGGGCAGCATCCTCAGCCCAACCCTCTTCAATATAATGATAAATGATCTATTCGAGGGCTTATCCCCTAAACTAAACACTTCAAAATTCGCGGATGACGGAGCCCTATTGATCCGCACTAAAAGCATTAAAATGGCAGAAAACTTAATCCAAAAATCTCTAAATAAAATACAACAATGGGCAGACAAATGGGGCTTCTCCCTAAACTCAGATAAAACAACAGGAGTAGTATTCAAACATAAAAACATGAAACCTGCCTACCCAGTCCTCCAGCTAAACAACCAAACAATCAAATTCCAAAAACAAACCAAATTCTTAGGACTCATTTTCGATCAACACCTCACCTGGGAGGCTCACGTCCAAAACCTAAAAACTAGATGCAGCAAAGACCTTAACACACTAAGATGTCTCACCGGCTCTAACTGGGGAGCCTCCAAAGATACCCTCCTCTCACTCTATACAGCACTAATTAGATCAAAACTAGGCTACGGCTGTGTCATATACAATACCCTAAACAACTCTCTATCTAAAAATCTTGACTCAATACAATACCAAGCCCTTAAACTAATCACACGCACCCAACATGGCACCTCCTACACCTCACTTCAGGCCCTTACAGAGGAAATGCCACTAAATATACGCAGGGAACGTCTAAGCCTTGATTTCCGGGCCGCGTCCCAAACAAACCCTCTCATCCAAAACTTAATTAACCAAAACATTAGCCCAAGAAACCAAGCTCTAGCTCGCAAACACCCCTCACTCACCCCAATATCCCAAAGAATAACCAACTACCTCAATGAACACCAAACTCAAAATCTTAAACAAAACTGCAAAAAATCAAATATCTTCACCCCTAAACTCAAAATACCCAATATAGACACAACGTTAGCTAACCCAATAAATAAACAAACCGACCCAAACATAGCTAAAACCACCACACTTGCATACATACACGAAAATTGGCCAAATTGGTGTCACATATACACGGACGGATCTTCAGACCCGATCTCCAACCACACAGGCTTCGGAGTCCATACCACACAACCAGTTAAATCCACACAATCTTACCGACTCCCCAACAACCAATCTATATTCACGACCGAACTTATGGGCATGGCCTCAGCCCTGCTTAACCAACAATCTAAAAACAACAATAAAATCCTAATTCTCACCGACTCCCTTAGTGGACTACAAGCCCTCCAAAACAAAAATACCAAAAACCGACCTAAATTAATAAACCAAATACTTAAAAGCTCCAACGACCTAACAAAAGCAGGCAAACAAATAACCTTCCTAAGGATCCCCGCCCACGTAGGAATTTACGGCAACGAAAGCGCCGATAAAGAAGCTAAATTATCTCTCAAAATACCAGAAATAAGCCTAAACCTACCCATCTCAAAATCAGAAATTAAAAGTGTAAACAAACAAAAAATTACCAAAAAATGGCATAATCAATATCAAAACTCAAATAGCCAAATCAAAAAAGTACTCAGAAAACCACTAGCCAAACCTTAAATCCTACACCCCTCTAAAGAAATTGACAGATTAATTACAAAACTCCAAACAGCACACACGAACCTAAATATAACCACTTAAAAAAAATTAAAAGACACACCACAGGAAACTGCCCCCACTGCAAACACCCCGAAACCACAGAACACGCACTCATCCACTTCACCCACTACCAAACACACAGAACCACACTACAAACCACCCTCAATCTAAATAAGGCTCCTACTCTAGATGAAATACTAAACCCTCAAAATAAACTAGAAAACTTCAAGGCCCTAGGCGTATTCCTAATCAAAACAGATCTAATTAAGCGCATCTAAAAACTCATTAATCTACCAATCCAAAATCCAATAAACATACAAACACCCACCTCACCCGGCTCCCTTAGTTCCCTCCTCCACCCACTTCGGCATTTATTCCAAATTTACAAATTCCCAAAATTCAATATAAGCAACCCCTAAAAGCCCCCTCTTGGGTTGCACACACCACTTTCACCCTTTTCGCAATACACTAAATGGCCCGGCCAGGCCCGTGTGCGAAATACGCTACAGTCGGAAAGCGCACGTTAAATCTCCTATACCAGTCAGTCAGTGGACATTAGTATTGAGGTCTTCCATCATTACTGCCCAGCTATTCCATCTCCGAATTTTCACAGGATATATGAGGAACTTCGTGATATGAGGCTTTGTAAAATGTTGAGTTACACGTGATGGACAATACACTTAAAAAAAAAAATTAAGGAGGAGAATTTATGGATGTCAACTTCTTCATTACGAGGAACACAACTTTTCGGAGTATATGCTT